TAACAAGTCTGCAGAGCTCGCTGTATGCAGCCTGGTGCTCTTTCTCACGGGGTGATGCTGAGAATGGACCCTAGCACAGGATTTAGCACTCTAAAGTGCTGCTGTTTGTACCAGCTGATGAGACTTACCAAAGCTAGCAAGGAGGGACTGCATCTTAGGAGAAAACCTCTCTAGCCACCATTTCAGTGTACAGGTTTCTGAATAGTAGTATCCCCATATTTCACAGCCCTATAGAATGTTATCTATTTAGTACTGAAACCAGCCATAGCAGTATAGGGAATGTTTGTGAGTTCCTGTCACATTTGGAATTGGCATGACTGATTGAAAAAACAATCCCTACTCTGAGTCCATGACAGTTTAATGGGTTTGCATAGATGGGTGCTGAAGGTTGTTTGTTCAAACTTGTTTTTAGCTTGGAAATAGACTAGGAAACATTTCTGCGGTGATGGAGGATTGTTTTAAGAGGGGGTAGTAAACAGTTATATATTTGGAACAGTAACTTCTTAAGCAGTCACTCCAGGAATGAATATGTGACAGTGCTGAGAGCCATCTATCTTCATGCAGTTCTTAAAGATACGGGGACTGATAATTTAAATGTACGTAAGTGTTGGGTGTGTAACCCTTGTGAAAATATTTGCCTGACTTCCAGATGATATTAGCATTAGATCTTTTCATATTACATGATATGACAGATATAAAGAATAGATTGTGGTTGTGAGTATTTGACCAGAAGACTGGATAAAGAAAGATAAGGCAGAAATCTTCTAAAAAGAAAACATAATTGAATTGCTTGGTCCTGTGGTTTGTGTTGTATGAAATGCTGGTTTTGGATCCCAAATATATGAAAAAAACAGTGAAAATAAATTAATCTAAACAAGCATTAATTATATCTGCAAGAATTAAGTATGAGGTTAGAAAGAGCCCTGAGTTAGGAATTTGCAGTTAAATGCCCAGGGTTTGTTAATCAGTTTTTTCTCTTGCTTCCTCCAGGTAGTGCAAGTAACCGCTCCAGCACTCGGAGTATACTGAGTGTCAGCAGTGGGATGGAAGGGGACACTGAGGTAAGCTCTCACCTCTGCTATGTCCTGCTCTGCTGTCCTTAAGTACACACCTTTGTTTTCATGCTGAAAAAAGAGCTCAGAGCTGGCATTGCATTTAGAGAAATGCCAAAATGTAGCCACTTTTGTGAGGATACCAAGAACCAGATTCTGCTGTTCTGTAAACACTTCTCTTCATTTTGTAGGACAGTGAAGTCCCAGAAACAGCAAGGAGCCGCAGCCCAGTTCCTCACCAAGCAGAGAGGCTTCCTTTCCCAGAAAGGCCTCCCAGAGTGCCTCCTCGAGGTGCAAGCAGGTAAAACTAAAATGCAGCTCAAAATGTGTGCTTTCAGTTAATCCTTATGGAAGCCTTGGACAGAAAGCAAGGCAGTTAGCAAAGGTAGCAAGTATGTTTTTGAGAAAGCTACCAAACTCTCAAAGTTTTACTCCAACCAACCATTTTAGCATCTCTTTCCAGTAATAGTAGAATTACTGCAACTAAAGAACAGAAGAAATGTCTTGGACAGGAACAATGCTCTGGCAGCTTGGCATCTGCTCTGTTGCTCAATCAGCCTGTTTTTCTTCTTGTATGACTACTGATTGTACACTATGCTTACATATGATTTTATTGCATGCAATGTGTTGTTCCAGAACTCTATTTTCTACTACTTTTTCATACATTTTCATTATCTGTCTTTTTGTAGGCCTGTAAGCTGTGAAGGCTTTTATCCTCCACCTGTGCCCCCAAGAGGTCGCTGAATCTCTCAACATCTGTGGAATATGAGATTTTTTTTGTTTATACATGTGTTTGTACAGATTTTTTTGGGCTGCGTTAAATTATTTATAACTGGGACCCAAATGATTTCATCCCCTTCGTCCTCCCTGAAGCTCTGGTGACTTTTCCCATGATTTTCACTGGGACCTTTTGGCGTTTTATAACTTTTTTTTTAGTTGGAAGAATTTTGGTGCTTTGGGGCTTCAACAAAAGGTATCATCATTGGGAAGAACATTGATGTGTGTCTTGGGAGCCCTGCATCAACATGAAGATCCCATCTGATCAAGTACATGTGTCCTTTTAGGAACTAAATCCTGAAAAGCATTGTTATCAAACCTCTCAATACAGTCTATCAGGGCTTGACTGGAAAACATGCTTAAAAAGTAAAGAAAATAAGATGTTTGAAAAATGCTCATTACAGCAGGAGCAGATGAATGTACTACTGCTTAGCATAACATTTTGTATACAATTATACTGACCTTTCAGAAGGTATAGCATCCCCCTTTAGCAATCATTAAACCATGGGGGAGATGAGAAATTTTCTTCAAGAATGTATTTTGCACACAGCCTTGAAAATGCCTTTCCTTTTCCTGTTCACTTCCTGAGGAAGACAGACAAGGTGTTGTGTGTCCTGTATTTACCATGAAAATTCCCAAGACAGCTGGTAAGGGACCTTCTGTATCACAAACCAACTGGACTTAAGTTTTTTCATGCAAGTTGCAGATACAGTGTTAAAAGATCACATGACTGAGCTCTCAAATTAGAGAAGGCCTTTGTGGCAGTGCTGTGCTCTGTGTCTTTCATGTGTGGTCATTGCAGCAATATGAAGGCATTCCACTTCATACTCTGGCACAGTAGTGAGTCCCCAGTTTTCAGGGCACACCCCTCACAAATACCAGCCATATTTTAGCCGGCTGCAGAGGGAACAGACAGCCTGGGAGCTGGACTCTGCTTGCTCTACCATTCCTTTCTACCAATGTGAACCTGCAGCAGCTACATCCAGCCTTTTTTCTGCCTGAGGGCTTACAAACTTAAAGAGACTTCCTGGTTTGGCTCTCTTCCAGACCTTGAAATTGTCTGTGCATGTCCCAACCCTTGGGGGACAAATGAGGGCTCTGGTTGTCCGTGAGTGACACTGCTGGAAATCTGCAATGATAACATTCAGGGTAGAGAATTAAATATCATTACATACTTGGTTTTCAGGGATGAAAGAGGGGGGAATGACTTGAAAAACAGACATACATCTGTATTAGGTGATCCCTCAGGTAGAGGCAGGACATGTAGAGCTTCTGTCTGATCATGTCAGCTCCCCTTCATCAGCAGGAGAGCAGGTGACAGAGTTGCAGTTCCTTTCTCTTGCAGGGTGGCAAACTCAATGTGTGAAGCTGCAGAAGTGACAACAACTGTGACTTGACCAGCACTGAATGAAGGTGGAGGAGCCCCTGCTCTTTTCAGGGATATAGACATATGCTAAATATCATCTATGCACTAGACTCATAGGATTTGGGTGACTCCAAATGCAGTTCATAAATCCTCTCCTTTTGATGGCAGAGGGATGCAGTTGCTGTGCTGCATACACAGCACAACAGATAAAGAGGCATCCTTTCTGTTTTGTTGTTTTTTCTTTTTAAAGGAACCTCAGTGCTGTCTCCAGTGACTGCCACTGTAGACTTTCAGTGAGTTTGCTTTCCTTCACTGTAGCCAGGGGAACGGTGAGGTAAGAGCTGCCCTCCTGTGCTCTTCTTGGACTGAAACAAGGTTTCCAGCTCTATTAGCTCAAATTGGAAGGAGGGAAGGAGGTTTTGTTGATGAAATGGGGAAAACAGTTGCAAGGATAAGAAGAAGTTAGGGACAGAAGATAAACAGGTTGTCTTCAGCTGTCACATGCTTTGGTTTGCATACAGCTCCCTGGTTTTGCTCAAAAATTCCCTATCTTGGTGCTGACTGCAGCTGTGCCCCAGACTTTGGAGCTGTGATGTGGTAAGACGAATTTGTCTGCTTTCACATCTGCCAGGTACAACATAAAGTAGAATTGTAGGATGTGGGTAAAACTGTAGTAAGGCAGGAAAGGAAGAGCAAATTATATGTGTGTCATGCAAATTTTCTTTCAGCGTTGTTGGACTGAAGCAGCCCTGGGATCTGTCTTTCCAAGCTAATTTTTAATTCTGCATCCCCTCCATGTTATAGCCAGATGTCCTCTATGGGAGGGATTTATCTGAGCATTTGACTAATACCATGGCTGTGAACTGGATATTTCTTGCTTGTGCTGTGCAGACATGGTTATATCTGAATTACTGAAAGTAGCTCATAAGTAACCTTTCAGTCCCTCTCCCATTTGAAGCTGAGATATTTCATTACTCTGGCCTGACCCATCACCTAAAGCCAAGTCTTGGTGGGGCTCTGGGAGAGGTGAGCTGGGAAAAGGAGAGCTGAGCCATGCTATGAGTGCATTCTGTTCAGGCCCCTTCTGCACTCCTCAGGGGAGGGAAACTGAAGATGCAGCTGTGGTTTCAGGCATTCCTCTCTCACTGCTGCTGGGTTAGTGAGGGATCTCAGTAACCAACAATCACTGCAAGACTCTCACCCTATTGAGGAAAAAAGGAGCAGCACTAAGATGGCTTTACTGTTGGATGCAGGTAAACAATTGGATGCAGTCATGTCTTTCAAGCCTCTTACAGGCCAACAGCAATGCACCTGCTTAGCCACCAAAGTGTGTGTTCCACACAGGTTGGATTCATCTAGTTGCTTTCAGCCTCTTACATTTCACTGTATGCAGTCCCTGTATCTGTCTTTTGTGCTGATGAGCATGTGGTGTGTGTTAATTCCACACAGGATGAGAAATGCACGGAAACTGAAGTTCAGAAGAGACCAGAGAAGAAACAGTGTGCATGCAGATTGCTGGTTATTTAAGAATATGCTTGGGAGGGAAAGTGGAAAGGGAAATATGAAGTGTTTCTGATGCATATTAGAGTTCAAGGACTGAAGAGATAATAAAATTGCTTGTAAAAACTTAAGTGGCCTGGCCAATTGTAGGGGCATCAACCAATCCACCAAAGTCAGGTGCCAGCTGGCAGGCCTGGGGACAGTGTTTGTTCTTTGTACAGCATGCCTTGCAAACCCTGCTGCAGCAGATGGCTCTGGTTGGCCATGGTGCTGACTGAGAGACTTAAGTACTGAATAAACTGAAGATGCTGAAGCCTCCTCTCTCTGTCTCCCAAGGGTAAGCTACTCTATTTTGGACTGAGATGCAATGACTAGAAAGAAACATATGGTGTTATCAAAACTGTCTAGGTTTTTTTTTTTTGTCTCTATGTGTGTGTGTAATACAAGCATGGCTTTTGCATGGGTTTTGGCAAGTGTCTCTACAGAGACCTTACTTCTACTGAAACAGTGCATGCACTATCTCCTGCATCTCTGGAAAAGGCTTCAGATAAATACACCTTTGAAATATGTGCAGGGAAGGTAGACTGAATGTGTGAAACCACAAGAGGAAAAGCTTTTAGCATAGGTATGATGGTAACAGGGAAATCTGCTTTCTGCATCATTTCTACAAAGCAAGGATGACATATAACAGCACAGAGTTCCTGCCTTCTGCTCGTATCATTTATTGTCTGTCTGCTTATTTGTTGGCTCTCTTTATTTGAGAAGATGGCATAGCCCCCCCCCCTTTTTTTGAGAGAATATGTAAGATAACTTTTGAAATTTTTTACTGTAATTAATTTTAAAGTTGTCTGATGAATCAGTGTTCAATGACATGAGCTTTTTGCATTGAGGGCTTGGTTTGGCTTGGTTTGTCTTACTGTGGACTTGTAGTTTGAGGTAGGTTTGAGGGTTTCATCTTGCACTGACAGAAACCTTACCCTGAACAAGATCCAGGTGTGGCTGTGCTGCCTCAGCACCTGCCCTGGGCCCTGCGGCTCCGTGTGCTGCTGGTGCGAGGGCTGTAGAGAACGGGCCTGTGCATTTCACTGCTGAGCTTCGAGAAGACCTCTGAGAGCGCGAGTCCAACCTCGGCCTGAACATCACCGTATCGACCTGACCATGTCCGGTCCTTCCTTAAACACCCAACACCCCTAGGCCAGGTGACTCCACCACCTCCCTCGGCAGCCCCCTCCAATATCTGCGCAGGCATTCCGTGCAGCAATTGCGCCTGGTGTCTGAGCTTCGGGCCCTTTCCCTTGTCCTGTCACCGGCTCCCCGGGAGAAGAGACGGGCCCCGCCTCGCTGGAGCCGGCTTTCAGGCACTCGCAGAGAGTGATAAGGGTCTCCCCTAAGCCTCCTCCAGGCTCAAAAAACCGCTGCTCCCAACACTTGCGCTCCAGAGGGTTCTTGTACACTGCCCTGCGACCTTTCCATTACTTTATCGATCAAAACGAAGGATCAATTACAATTCCATCCCGCAAGAACGGCGCGCCCGCGGTGTGCCTGCCCGCGCTCCCTGCCGGACCCGCCCGCCCCGCGGGGCTCCCGTAGCGCTCCCGTAGCGCCCCCGCGGTTCCGGCGGCCGGGCGGGTGACGTGGCGGGCGGGGCGGAAGTGGCGTCGGCGGCGGGCGCGGGCCGGTGCCGCGGCGGGGCCTGCTGGGGACGCCGAGGCCCGAGATGGCGGCGCCCGGGCTGCTCCTGCTGCTCCTGCCGCTCCTGCCGCTGCGCGCCCGCGCCGACGAGCACGAGCACACGGTGAGGCGCCGCCGGCTTCCCGGGAGCGGCGCTCGGGCCGGGCCCCCGTGGCGCGGCGGCGCGGGGAGCGCGGCTCGGTGGGCGGGAGGGACGGGGAGCCGCGGGCCGCGGCCTCGGGGGGAGCGGGCGGCCGCCGCCCCGCGGGGCTCCCGCCGCGCCCGCTGCGCTGCTCGGGCTGTTCGGCCGCGCCGGGCGGAGCCGGGCCCCGCGATCCGGTTCGGCGCTCGGGGAACGCCGGGGCGCTCGGGGCAGGGCCGGCGGGTTCTCTGATCCGGTTTGCACATCCTTGTGCGGCCGGGCGGGGTGTCCCACCTTTTCCTGGAGCAGATAAACGGCCCGGCAGGTACCGTGCTTTGTTTGGAGAGCGCTGTTTGCTCTGCCCTCCTCCCGGGAGGATGTTTGCTCTGGCTTCAGAGCTCAGTCCGAGCCGGAGCGGTTCTGACAGCCCTGCGGGACAGGGGCTGACAGCTCCCCTCGAGAAAAGGCAGGATAGCGTGGGAATGGGCTGGGGAGTAAACGCAGGACGGGGACACTGCCACGGACCCGCAAGGAAAATGGGTGCAGAAAATACTACTGCTCTGAGAGCTCACGCATTGGCATGAGGATAGTTTTTCTCAAGTGCTTGCAATATTATCCAAAAAGAATCTCTAGGAAAAAAATACTAGTGCTTCGTCAGTTTCTAATTTTACATCAGAGTGTTGTTTCCCGTGGCTTTCGGTGTGAGAGAGTGGAAGTTTGTGTGATGAGTTGAGATATGATTTTGGAACGAGACTTTTCTAGAAATCATCTCTTCTGCAAGTGGAGTGTATTAGAACGTGGCTGTCATTAAACACTGGCTCTCTCTGACTGTCAGGACTTTTTTTGCTCTTGAGCAGCCTGGCTGGTAAACGCTTGCTGAGTTTCTTAATGTAGTTTTTTCAAGGTGAGGTGTGGTAAATCTTACCAAGTGTTCTTAATGAAACAGATAAATAGTGTTGATAGCTTTTGTATAAGGGATATGTAATTGGTTGCCTCATTCAATTTATTTTTGAGGACTTTAAAACTGATTAGGTTTGTGTTTGTTTTTTGAAAGGGAAAGGACTTCATTGGTTCTTCAGTTGATGACAGAAAAGTTAATCTAATATTCAGGACTTTCAAGAAACAGATATTCTTTGAACTAGTTTAGGTGCCAGTTTTCTTGCTGAACATATGCTTTACAGTGAGGCTTCTGCTGAGGTGAGATGGTTTTCAGCATTGCACTGTGTTTATTTTAAGGGCTGGTTGACTTGAGGATTTATTCATTATTAAATTAATATTGGTAGTCTTCCAGGGGAAAAAAATAAAGCTGTCACTGAATTTATTTGGGTTTGAGCTCTCCCTTCAGAAGTGATTGTTTTAGATCTTCTGTGATGGTTTTAGATCTTCTGAATGATTACCTAAACAATTACTCATGGAGATCACAAATTCCTTTTGAAGGCTTGTCATTTTTTTCATTTAAACTACTCAACTCTGAGGGATTGTAAGTCTGTTTTGGTTCAGTATTCTTGTTCACAAAGTGTCCAGTTTATTAACTGGGTAAGTTATGTGATAGGTTAGGAATAGTTGGTGTAGAAAGACAGGTACCTTTTTTTGGAAGGCTATCTCCTTACTTGGGTATTTTGATATTTTAATCTTGTGTGTGGGAGATTGGAGTGGAAGCATTAATAGCATGAATGAAGCATGGCCAGGGTTTTGTAGTAGTGTACTGATGTTAAGATAAAGAACCTGAAAGGAAATATTCCTTAAATACTGCATTTTAATAAATTTCACTTTTAAATATGATTGCAGCTGGGAGATTAATTTTCTTATAATCAAAGTGCTTTACTACATTTTGAAGGCTCTGCTCACTTTTGGAGAAGTGGAAGGGAAATTCGGGATTTGATAATCTCAAACTAAATTTTCACTGACTTTAAGACTTGAGACCTGTTGGTAGGAATACATATCCTTGTCCTTCCATTTCCTCGGTGTGCAGCTCCCTGGGGGAAGGTGTGCTGGTGCACCCTGACACAGCTGAGCAGGGTGTTGTCAGGGCTCAGCATGTTGGACATACAGAAGTGCTGTCTTAAACTTTTAAAGCTGCTGTAACATGGAATTGTATGCACTGTGTGCTGTAATATGTATTACACACGTCCTTTATTTTAAGGTTGTGGACTTCTAAGCAAGTACTATAAAAGGTAATTGTGAGAGGACTCTGCATGAAACTCTAGGTCTGTGCTATTGTTTCTGGAGATGTTAGGTATGGATAGTGTCATTGAATCAACAGCTTATATCCTTTATCTTAAATTTCAGTTAGTCTTTAGAAATCACATCTGCTTTTCTTTGGAAGAAGAATAGTTTAGATACAACTATAAGATAAAGACATGGTTATTTAAAATGAGTAGTAAGTGAAGAGAAATTTTTGCCACAGTATTTAAAATCTCCATTGTCTAAAGACAGTACAGCAGCATAACTTCAAACCATGACAGAACAGTTTATCAGGAACTAACTGAAAACTTGTCTGGTGATTCTTTAACTTATTTTCATGCTTCAGAGCATGTAATGTACTTGCTCACTGCCTGTGTTATAACAATTGCAACATTTTTTGACAATTGTCCTTTTCTTTGTGGAAGCGATAGTATCAATGGGGTGCTGGTGGCCTTATCACAATGTACACTGATCCTGCAGAAACAGGGCTGGGGGCTCCTGCCTGCCCTTTGCTTTCACATCTTCTGTTGCTAGACTTGTTGAAATTGATGATGTAATAGACGAACCATAAAACATTCTGAAATATCCTGTGGTTTTTGTTGCAGGAGAATGGTCTAGAGAGTAGGTAGCATTTTAATTTTAATGTTGCTTCAGTTTAATTATCTGTGCTCTGTAAGAATGGAAATACATTAAAAACATTGAAAATAAACAAAACCCAGCCTATATTACATAGCAAAATTCCTAATTTGGCTGAGAAAAGCGTTTTTGCTTGATCTATACCCTGATCAAATACGTTAAAACCCTGAGAATGCAAGGCTTATTTAAAATTAGTATGTAAAATTAGCAACTTTGTATCGTGTCTGAAAATTGTCTGTTAGAGAAACACTGTGGAAAACATTTCAGTTCACGTAAAATACTTATTTGCATGTGAAGTTGAGTGCAGATGAGCGGCCCGATTCCTCTTTGAAGTTGTGTTTCCATTTTGAAGAGGTGAAATAAATGTCATGGAAGCAGGACGTGGTGTGCCTGAGCAATCTTGTGCATCGAGGAAGTGTAACAGTAAAAGTACTGCATGTACAGAAGTTCAGCCTGTGCCACTGGTACAGTTCTAGACACATCTTGATGAGGCCTAAAATTCAGAGAGAAATAAAGAAGTGTTACTTGAAATAGCCTTTGTCCAAAGGCGAGCATGAGGCTGAAACCCACAGTTTAATAGGGTGTGGATGTGAGCTGCAAACATTGAGAATTATCACAGTGCTCAATAGATGGGATATCTCTAAGATACTGGGGACTGCAAGCCTGGGATATTACTTGCCAGGTGAGTCTTGCTTGCTGCCTCCTGTATTTCTTATCTTGCTTCTACATCTTTGCTTTGCCAGTAACAAATAATGTTGGTTCTTTTTTTCCCCCTGCAAGATGTGCATTGTGGGGCACCTCATTCCAGACTTCTATTTGAGGAAAGGAGTAAAATCACATATTTTCTGAAAGAAACTGTCTTGATTTGAATTTATTATGCTGAATCATCACATGAGGTTTGGCAGATGTAAAGCTCTTTTTTGTCTCCCAAACTTTTTTGCAAAATGTTTTCCTGGTTTAAAGAAGAATATCAGCAACAGTCTCATATCTATTTCTGCAACCTTTTGTAACTGACTTCATCTAGCCTTAATTGTTTTTTAGAATAAATAGTCTCTTTTTAGGGTTAGCATGCTAATTTCTACAGTTGAGCAAAGAGAACATAAAGTTGCTTTCCATACCACGAGTGCCCTGTTGGGTAACAGGAAAGAAAGATGCATGTACTGAAGGCAGTATTGCTATACTTGAATAGTTTCTAAATTGTATAGATCTATGGAAATTGTCTATATTAAGCCTCAAAGTGGTGCACACCCCCAGTTTTTCACTAGTTGTATTACACAGAAGATGTGCACTCCTGGCCATGTCAGACTACACAGGGTTCCTGCCACTTTAGTACTCTGCAGGGAGCTAGAGTGGACCCATCAATACAGGCAATGAGGAAGAACTGTGGATGGGTTGGATGTGATTTTAGCTTGCACAGGCACATCCCTGCAGCCCAGTGCTCTGAACAGGCACTGTGACCATATTGTGCTGCTTTGGAGCAGATGTTCTCAGCTGTGGTGAGGGTTGTAGTTGATATGCAGTTGCATTTGAGGTGCAGATTGGTTCTCCACCACCTGGTTGGCAATTACAGAAAGAAGTTTCTGAAGGTTTGTCTCCCTTACCTTAACAGCTATATGGTAGGTAACTTGTGTCTATTCTGAGACTTTTCAGGCTGCATCTATAAATATATCATTATTATATATTCCAGATAGCTACAGAAATTACCGAGCTGATATTAAGCATAGTGCAGAAAAATATGTGAAGCTTACAGACATTTTTTTCATAAATTACAGTAAGTGAAACATAAATAAAATTGTGTTCTGTAGCCTTCTCTCACGTGTGGAAGTGCTGAACTGTGTGAGTTGTGGCACTGTGACCAAGTTGTTAAATGTTTGTGTCTGTGAATATAATTGGGATCTCTGAGCTATGTGCAGTGTATTATCCCTTCATATGAACCAAAACCAGAAGAGATTGCTGAGATATATCAGAGTACAGATTGCATCTTATTTGTTGACCTTCTTTGCCTTGTCATTTACTATGTTCATCTTGGCTTACTTTATGTTCTCTCTCTCATAGTGGGACCTTTTTGCTGAAAGGTGTGTTATATGTAAGCCTTCTCACAACTTAGCAGCCCTCCTAAAGAGGTGACAGGACAGTATCCTACAAAATACTCTAGTGCTTTGTCTTGCCTAAATAAGTTTTCCTTTGTGTTGGCATTGTTATTTATTGTGGACTTTTTGATATGATGAAGGCCCTAATGAAACAGAACAGAAAAGAAACCAGAGAGAAAGCCCACCATCAAACTGCCACGCTTGAACTCTTTAATAGCACTGTGTTCTTGCCAACATCTTACCCTAGCACTAGGCTAAGAATGCAAGGATAAGATATGTCAGAGAAATGTATTTAAATGTGAAAGCTCATCCTTATAATTGACAATGAGCAAAACCCAACAAATGGAGAGAGAAGAAAATGTCCTTCCGTTTCTGCTAGGCACCACCCCCACATTTAAGCTGAAGGTGCTTAAGTTGTTTTACTTACTACAATGCCCTTAATTTGAGGAAGTCACTGGAAGCACCTGATGGATGGCAGATGGCTGTGCCTAAGGACTGTGTGAGTGAGGCTACCCTGGGCTGGCTGAGCTGTTGTGTTTTTTTATGTAGCAATCCTGAAAAGATTTATCTGGTGCTGTTCTGGGGTGGTTGTGAGAAAGGAGGAAGTAATAAATGCAGACTGAGTTCTTTGCATCTGTTAGTTGTGGCCCCTTTTCTCTCTAGAGTAGGTTGATGGCATCTTGGAGTCATTGTGGGAAAAACATGTAGGCCCTGAAGAGGGGCTAAGCCGCATGCAGATAAGAGACAAGCAAAAACCAGATCTGTTATTGCAGATGTTGTAATTACTATTTAGTTACATTGGTAGATCAGAAAACATAGCAAGATTTTGCATATTATGTTCTAAATCTGTTGGTTTCTGCCTCATCTGTCATGAGTTTCAAAAATGTGGAGGTGCCAGCTCAGTATGAAGCATGTCAGAAAGGAACAGCTGAGGGAAGCAGTGGTCAGTGCTTTCTTTATTCAGGCTGTCAGTGATGAACTGACAGACCCAAGGATGTTGTCATATTCTATTACTGAAGGTTAAGCAGAGACATAGGTCAGCTCACGTGTAAGCCGTTGGTGTAAGCAGTGCTAAAGTGGGCTCTTGACAAGTAAAGACCATTTTGAGAAAGGGCTGGAAATATGTTCTGCAGCTGTTAGAGGAAGAAACAGAAGACATGATAGAAATAACAGGCTAGGAAGAGAGATGGACCAGCTTGTGCTGTGCTCTCTTGGCAGGAGCTAGAGGCGGATTCCAAGTACAGACTCCAATGTCTGTTTCTGCAGCTGAGGGGATTGGAACTGGGATTTTACTTTCTTTCTCTTATCTTTCCCAACTTTGGACAACTATGCTGCACTGGTATGACCTTTCTGATTGCTGACAGAGAAGAGGAATGTCTACTTTCTCATGCTTTCTCTTGTTTACTTTTTATTTGATGCTTCTTTGACATTCTTTAGCTGTCAGAACTGCTCTGAAGTGTGTGCTCTGCAAAGGGACAACTTTGTGAAACCACTAAGTGTTTGGTCTCTGCTGCAGCTCAGAATGAAATTATTAAGATATTTTAAGTTTCTTGTTGGAAATCACTCACACAGGAGACTGGAATGACCTTTGTACATCTTTGTAAACAAAAAAAGATGAGCCTTTAATTGAGATGGTGTGTTAGTTTAAAGGGATGAAATTATTTTCTGAAGCAAGTTTATTTAAGTCCTTGAGTTTAACTTTTAAACACTTCATCTGGAATTTTTTTTTAAATTTCTGCACTGACCTGTTGGTATGGCTGTGGTTGTTCAGAATAAATGGAGTTGAACAACCTTTGTTCATTTGTTAAAAAGGGAGATACAAAACTGTGTTCAGTATTTCAGCTGTGCACTATATAATAGTTACGTCTAATTAACATTTTGCTTTCTTTTCTTCTCCAAGGTATTCTGTGTCTGTGTTTTGGTCTTATAACAGTACTTTATACTTATGTACCTAAAAAAAATTCAAGACCTGTATAGCAATTTGCTTTTATGTGTATATAATTATAAATAGGGTTTTTTCCTGCCTTAGAAGTTACATTACTGTCCCTGTCCCTCTGATTCTGTTGAAATTATAGGTGAAGTAGTGTTGTGTGAGGGACTTTGTGTAGTAATCAGCAAATCTGATACCTCATCTAGATGCATACAGATATAATGCAATTTACTATTTCAGATAATTTAATTTTCCTGGATTTGTCCAGTATTTGAATATTGATAGATTAATGACTTCTAAGTACCTTTTTTTGTTGTTCAGAAGTAATAAGGGCTTGGAAAAAAATATTGGCTCCTAGACAAGGAATATCTGTTTCTGGCTAACAGTAGCTGTGGAAAGTGAAGAGTAAATGTTCCCAGAGAGAATTTCATGGCAGCCACCAGACTTCTTGCTGTTCTGTTTTTTCACTGTGGGAATGTTGGAAATGCATCAAAATACACTTCTTCTGTCTGACTTTGGCTCTTGGCTGCTATAGGTACACAACAGTTTAATTTTGGTGCTTCCTGTGAGGCATTGTGCTCTTCTGTGAATTTTGAATGCAGTTTATACCCTTTCTAAAAAGAAAAGGAGCTGCATTTTAGGAAAATACAAAATACCTGGCAGTGTGGGTAGATTGCCTGACTACTTTGCTAAAGTCTTGTTTAACAAGACATTAATTTGGTGTTTCCTTTATTTCAGTTGAGATAAGCAGAGTTTTGCTTTTAACTGATCTGTGTTTTTACAAAATTAGTCAAAGCTTATTTATTTTCAAAACTTCTGCTTGCTGCATCTTCTACATCTTTCTTATATCCCCCTCATCTGATACTTCACTGATAGGCCGTAAGAAACTGTATGATCAACTTGGCTTTTTTTTCCCCTATGAAAGCAGGCTGAAATTTTATCCTGGAGTCCCTGTCGTGCAAAAGACAAAAATGCTCAGCAGTCTTTAAATGTGGCTGTTGCCTGTGATTGAGCAATCCTGCCCTGCTAGTTGATATGAATAAGAGCTTCTTGAACATTTTTATTCTGCTGAGCTTCTCATCTAACTCAATAACTTTGTTTTTCAGTACCAAGATAAAGAGGAAGTTGTTCTATGGATGAATACTGTAGGACCCTACCACAATCGCCAAGAAACGTACAAATACTTCTCTCTCCCTTTCTGTGTGGGATCAAAAAAAAGCATTGGCCATTACCATGAAACCCTAGGGGAAGCACTTCAAGGAGTTGAGCTGGAATTTAGTGGGCTTGACATCAAATTTAAAGGTAAGTAATTCAAAGTGCATTTAGTCACTTAAAAAAATACACAAACTCTTCAAACTTGATCTTTTAATGAGAAGAACTGAAATTTTCTTGCTGCTAGCAACTGAGTGTATTTTGTATGGTTGATTGGTACTACCACTGGCTTTTGAGTTTACACTTCCATCTATGTGCTCTTGAAGGAAAATGCTTGCAGCAGATATTGCTTCTGAAGTAACTGATATCATTTTACAAAGTAAAACTAAGTTTTCTGCGTATGAATGTTTGATAATTTACTGGAATTAATATCCTGGAATTACCAGTTCTGAAGATGTAGTTTTTTCCTGTGATGATGAATACTTGTAGACTTACTGCAATTGCAAAGGAGTAGCAAGGGCTCAGTATCTCAGAGTTCCACCTCAACACAAAGTTGATGATTGTATCCTTCTGATTAGTTTAGAATAACTTTGACAAATACCTTTGTAGTGCTGTCTCTAACTCATGCCAGTCAGGCCGGAGCAGGATGAAGCTGGTTTGTTTTTTTTTTTTTTTCCTGTTGTTCCCTGTCTTCATCATCTTTCCATACTGTTCCAGAGAAGACATTTAACTGCTTTAGCAAATATATTTCTTGGTGTTAAGGCCTGAGTCTTCTATTGCATAATTTCTCTCTGTGTGTCCTTTCAGATGTCTGTAGCTAGTAGTTGCAGAACTTAGTAATAGTAATAGATTCTTTTTGCCTCTTGAATTTTAACATTTATTAATTTAATTCCATTTATGTTTCTGTGTATCTTTTTTTCCAGAACATTGCATTTCATCACTAGGGCTTAACTGGATGGAGAAATTAAGCATAGTATCTCTTGTCTGAGCATTTACAGTCAGATGGGATTGAGTTTCTGTAAGCTGTAAATTTTTATCCAAAACTGGACATCTGTAAAATAAAAGAGCTAAGGATGTTTTTGCTAGCAGTAGTATAAGTTGAATAAAAGATTTTTACAAAGTTTGTTAATATCTTAAATTCTTCATAATTTTAAAATTTGCATAGAGGATAGCATTGCCACACGAAAGGAGTTTGGAGTTGAATCTTTTCTTTTAAGAAGGAAAGAGTACCTGGACAAACACTGGGAAACAGTCTTACTACTGGTCTGTTACACTTGTAGCATGGTGAAAATTTTACTCAGTGTGGAAGAAATAATTTTCTTGTCAAACCTCATAGAATGTCTTCAGAAACACAAAATGGAAAGGACAGTGAAGGCAACTGGCAGCAATTCAACAATTGGTGAAGGTTAATAAAGTTGATTCATTTTTTAGAGGCTTAGAAGTTCTCATGAACCCAGTACAATTTGTATCCAATTTATGTATTGTAAAATTTGGATTTCATAGACCAGTCTCTAATGTTTAGCATTTGTATAATTAATTCCTTTCCAGTTAGATTGTTAAATTGTGATGGTAGCTCAGTTTTTTGGTGACATTTTACTAGTAGACCTTGCTCTGTGCAGAAAGGGTGTTTGCTTTTATTTTTTCCCCTTGTAACTTAGTTGTATCAGTGAAATTGAAAAATTATTTTTGTAATGGATAAGTTTTATTTCAGTGTGATTGATATCGGCTTCAGCTCTGCATCAGTGTTCCAGGAGTTGCTGCAATTAAATTGAAACAGGGCTGTTGGTGTTTTTGGAGTGATTTGGTTTTTTGGTTGGTTTTTGTTTTCCTTTTTCTTTCTTTTTGTAAGCAGATAGAGGCTTGGTTGGTACCAATAGATTCATGTGTTCTTAAGTAAAAGATACAGCTTGAAGGAGTGTTGAGTATCTAAAATCTGCAGCTGAAATAATTAAGATAATAAGTAATCAACTTGCACAGATTTTCTTCATGAATATGTGAATCATATCTAAGTTCTGAGTTTACAGGCATCTGTGCTTTTCTTTATGTACTTTTGGCATTATGGCAAGATTAACAGTTGCAGACATTTCTTTCTCTTTAAAGTATTGCATGAGTTTACAAAATTAGATTTGAACTTCATACTCTTAGGTTTTTATTCTCTAAAGTTAGTAAAAGGGAAATAAAACGATTCTAATAAATTAGCTTCTGCAATAAAAAATAATTCCCTTCTAAACATTGTTTGACTGGGCAGCAGTAGCAGGTAAGCGTGAAGCTGCATGTTGTTCATCATATTCAAAGAATTGTTTAGGCTACAGCTGTTATTAGCTGAAGTACTAAACTGTGTAAGTAAAACTGGCATTTGAATCAGTAGGCATTGCCTGTATTTTTTGAACTAGAATAAAAACATGATTTTGCAGAAATGTGCCCTTCTGAGAGTGAAGGTTTCCACTTGCACTCCCATGGTGGTGACTGGTGGGGCAAATCTACAGTGTATCCAAGCCTCCATGAAGTAGTGTTTCTTGTTGTATTAAGTGTGGCATATGAAAGGATACATGCAATCATACAAGATAGTTGGATTTTCCTTTTGTTACAATATGAACAATGTTCTTACATCACAGGTCTCAAATCTGTATAAATACCTGTGTGAAGGAAGAAATTAAATATTTCTTAAATATTCATATTGTAATATAACTTCTAAGTTTTCAGTTGGCTTAATTATCTTGTCAAGCTAAATCTAGGATAATAATGCTTTTTAATTAGTATGTCAAGTTCTTTACTCAAGTGTTTGAGTGACATCCTCTGTTACACCTGAGACCTAATAAATTTTTAAATGGATTGAACATTGGTATCAGGGTAACTTCTGTTTGAAAATTTATTTTTGATATTACCATACTGTGCTGTTAGAGAAGATGAATGTAAAGAGGAAAAGGATGATTTAACAAAATTGCATTTTGTACTTCTTCAGAAATGTAAAAGAATGGCTGCTAACAGTATAACTTAGGAATTGTAGATGGGGAAGAATAGCTTCCTGGGTGAAAGAGGTGGATTTATTTTATTTCCAAATGCAGCCTCTTGTGTGTCCTTTGCATTATTCCTATTTTTGTCTTCTCTCCTTTTTTTCTCTGTCTTTATTCTGATTGCTTTGTTTCTTCCTTAGAGTAGTTTCTTCAAAACTGCTGAGAACTTTAAAAAGTTTTAGGTTTTTTTACAAACATTATTCCTAGTCAGTGAAGCTGATTATACTAAACCAGAGATAATGTTGTAAACAGTTTTAGGTACTTCTTAATAATTTCATATCTCTTGTTAGAGAAATCTCATTATCTGTTCAGGTGAATCTGTCATCAGCTTTTTTACTTTAATCTAGTGTGACTGAAGCAGCAAATGGATACTGTGAAACCTTTCCCTGCCCAGTATGTGGGAAGCCTCTGCATGCAGAAGTGTAGATTTCTGAACACAATCATGCATTTGCTTTAATGGTTCCTTTTAAAATGTCCTTTATTGTTATCTACTTGAGGATACCCAAGAGGGCTTGGAGACTTCAGCTCTGTCCATTCCTCCATTTGATTTGCCTTCACTTTGAGCCAGCTCATTAATAAATCTTCAACTGTGCTTCAATTTTTTGCAGATGATGTGATGCAGACCACTTACTGTGAAGTTGACTTGGACAAGGGAAGAAGAGATGCATTTGTGTATGCTATCAAAAATCACTATTGGTACCAGATGTATATTGATGACTTGCCAATATGGGGTGAGTGATATTGTGCATTAATGATTGGATTACACCTACTCAAGCCCTGTACTAGTGGGTTTCATGGAGTCATATAATGACTAAGCTTTGTTACAACAATTTCACAAGAAATGCAAGTCTAATTCACAAGAATTTGAAGTAAAGTAGTAGAGGACATAATCTTAAGCTGCACCATGGAAGAGTTAGGTTGAACATTAGGAAGCATTTCTTCACAGAAATGGTGATTAGACTTTGGAATGGGCTGCCCAGGGAGGTGTTGGAGTCACCATCCCTGGAGGTGTCTAAGGAAAGACTGGATGTGGCACTTGGTGCCATGGTGGAGTTGACAAGGTGGTGTTGGGTCATAGGTTGGACTCAGTGGTCTTTTCCAACCTAATCAATTCTGTGTGAAGTAAGTTGATGGCTTATTGCATTGAAAGAACAGTAGGATGGCTGTACTAGTGAAATACAAAAACAGTGAAAAGCTGTTTTGTTTCTAAAGCCCTGATTTAATAACAGTAAGTTCTTAGGTTTAAATTTGTTCAGATGTTAAAGTAGGTGGTAATTAGGTAAGTTACTTGTAAGGACCATGTTATTCTGATCATTAATAACAAGCTTATTTGAGAGTTGAAACTTTATTTTGCTACTTTTCTTTATTACTCATGCAAAAACTGGTTGGTTTAATTTTATGGTAATTTAGTGGCTGTTAACAGTGTTGCTTTGTTGTCTGTGTTTATGTGGAGTTTTATTTTACTTACTCTTTTACAATTCTCAGAATTTCTCTTGCTGAGTATTATTTACCTGGGTTTAGAAGTGTTTGTGTCTTGAATAAAAATGTGTGTATCTTTATTGCCATTGTCTCCTAAGGTCTCTGTGGTTTGTTGCTCCCTCATAACCTGTGATCACATACCTGGTAAGGAGTGCTCTGCAGATTGAACTTTGCACTGATAGCAATCAACCAAACTCTCCAAGGCCTAATCTCCCTGTTGTAGATATATAAACTAGAAGGAAATGAAAAGCAGCCATAAGCTCTTTGTTGCCTGTGTTCCATGAAGGAGGTAAACCTGCCCAAACTAAACCAAGCCCCCCAGCACCTACAGAAACGCAGTTCAAATCATGCAAGAAAAGTTCTTTGATAGCTGATGAATGAGGCTACCCATCATTAGTTCATTTTGACTAAGGCTGCTTTTTTTTAGCTCTTTCTTATTTTAATATGTTTTAGAAAATATCTGTTAGATGAACATGGCAGAAAAATTAACACTTCATTTATTTATTATTTATCTGGTTGTCAGGAAGGTCTGGGTTTGTTTTAATGTGTCTGTTTTTAAGACATACCATTATAATGCCTGAAGAGAAGTACTTAAGTATTGATTTTGTTCTTTTCAGCTGATTGGTTTATTGTGTGTAATGGCTCTGTAGTCAGGCTTGGAGTAGACCTGAATTATTCTGTGTGACCTTTACTGTACTGCTTGTGCAATTGCTGATAAGCTTTTTAAAAGCATGCATGAGTGACAGTTGTTGCTACAATATTTTTTATGGCTTTGGCCTTTCAGCAAAAGACCAGTGAATTATTTTTCTAGACTAGTGGCAGGTATGTAGGGTTTGAATTGCCCAGGTATGATGGATGCTAAGCTGACTTCTTTGGAATCCTGTGTGGCTAACAAGTCTTGGAGGCTTTCTTTTTTGGAATTTATTTTTCTGGTCATGTTTCATTATCCAAAATGCCAAAAAACAAACATACCTACTAAATCTACATATGACAAATGTTATGCTCTCAGCTAAAATTCTGGTTTCCTGTGATTGAGTGTTTTTAATGTTTCCCAGTAGTATGCTTTTTATGCACAAGAAGTCAACTAGAAAACACATAGAATATAGGTGTTATCTTTCTAAGATATTAAGAAGCTTCTTTTGATAGTTTGGAACCAGGATCTCAAGCTGTGCTACATAATGGGGACTCCAGGATCATAAGTACAGGTAATATTATGTAAGGATATAATCTGACATCAGATGTGAAGGCAAGTGGTGCTGACAGTTTTGGTCTGTGTCTCCTGCAGGTTAGGTGAAAGTAGCAGGACTGCAGGTTGATCAATATTAGCCTGACTTATATTCAAAAAATTAAAATGAGCTCTTGGTGGGGAGCTGAGAAAGGAGTGGATGCACCTGAACTAATTAGAAGAGTTTATCTGCAAGTCTGAATTAGTATTTTGGACCTTTGTTTTCCCAGTACAGTGGAGAAAACTGGGAATATAGCTTATCTGCAATAATTTTGGTTTTCCTGGGTCTCTGTTCAGCAACAAAAATGTTTTGGGCTTTGAGTGCTGCTTAAAACTTAAAGCACTGAGACTTGCTGGTAACTGAACAGTTTTTATTTTAAGTATTTCTGTTATGAATATGGCATGAATGATGCTGTACACATGCCTCTGCCAGCCTGTGGTGCCTTTGAGTGTGTTGTGCAGACTTGTCTAGTACCACGTAATGTGGTGGCAGGTAGAGACACTGAAGAAAGCAAATATCTTTTGCTTGATTGTTGTTTCAGAGCTGTAAGTATTTCTAAATAGTTACTAAATTTCAGTAATTATAATGAAGAAAACTGTTAGGACTGTTTAAGATACTTGGGTATGGAAGTAAGATCTGAAGTAGTTATGATGGCATCTCTGAAATACTCTGAATACTGAGAAGGGTTTTTTTGGTTTCATGAGGATAGTGTCCAGAACTGGTTACCCTCAGCTTGCATTAAAAATAGCTTGTGCTGAATGACTTTTTGTTACTGTGTGAAGGCTCTCATCTTGATCCACTTTATTTGGATTACCTATCTTGACAACCTCACTGGCCAGCATGTATTGAATATACTGTATGACCCAATATCCTGTTTTTTTTCATTGTTGCTTTGCATCTTGTAGCTGGATTAAACCAAAATTTTGTTCCCTAAATGTAGATAGCTGGAATCCTTTTTTAGTGCTACCAAAATAAAGTTCTCTGTGAAGAGTGTAAAAGAAAAGGATTCAGATGGTGCTAATGTTTGCTGAGAATTCTAGGCAACTTCTCTTTAATTCTATTCTTAAAGCAGACCTTTCACTTCCCTGGGCTCCACCAGATGCATTCCTGGCACTCCTCCTGTCTCCTGGCAAACTTTAGTTAAGTTCATCCTTTATGTTCTTTATGATTTTCCACCTTGCTAAGGCTTACTGCTACCAGACATATGCACAAACACTAATTCTTAAAATTCACCCTGGAAGTCCTCAAGCCCTGTTAGGACTACTCTATTTTCAGTAGAGACTAGGCATAAATTAACCTTTCTTAACTGCTGATAACTGAAGGTAATGACATCAAACTGCTGTTTGAGGGCTCTGTAAGGTTTACACTGTTTTCTAATCTGAAAAAGGCAACAAGATCTTTCTAAGTGCATTCAGAAAAAATTATTCCATTTTATATTTTTTCCTGAATTGCTGTCCCACAGTGGAGAGAGAGACTAGGCTTGATTGTTTCAGGACATTTCCTAGCTATGTAAAGCACTGTGTTAGTTCATTCCTTCAGTGAGTGATTAATCAGAATGTTCTTTAAGTAGTTTAGAGGTCTATATTGTCGTTCTGGATGCTACCATGGGAACAGATGGCATGGCAGGTGCCAGGCTATATGGTGGAGGCACAAACTGGCATATGTTTTGTGTAGATGGCAAATACAAGGCAATCCTGACAGATGAGCATAGTGAAAAACTTGACAGAAATACCACCTTGAAAATTAAAAAACACAGGTGATGCACAAAGGCCCTTCCTTCATATCCCTGGTGCTTTGTGATAGTCTGTTCCATACCCTTCACCTACTTGTTCCCCCATTCCCCTCAGCCCTGTGTATCTTGAGTGCTGCTTTTTTTGTGACTTTCCATTTTGTACATCTTGTATGTGATCTTTGATCTTGACATCAAAGGTGACACAGCCTGGGAACTTGTTGACTGTTAAACTTTTTATTTTCACCCAACATAGCACAGTCTCTGGAATTCTTCTGTGGTAGATGAGACATTTTGCACTAACTTAATGAAAATTAAGAACTTAATCATAGGATGGTTTGGATGGTTTGAGATGGAAGAGAGCATAAAGCTCATCATGGTACAGCCACAGCTTCTCTTGGGCAACCTGCAACCTCTATCATTCTCATAATAAAGAATTTCTTCCTGATATAAAACCACATTTTTGGCAAGCATTGGAAACTTGTGTGAAAACGAGAGCAAGAAGCATTTGTTGGGAAGTAAACTAATGAGGATTACAGAGAAAAAGTAAAATTCTTAAGAGGAAGAAAAACGAGCAAATAGATAGTTGGAAGATGGAAAATTGTAGAGGTCTTGGCTAAGTTCTGCTAGGAAGAATGAATTTCTATTTTGCTAGTTATTTATCTGATAAGAATTGCAAATAAAAGTAGAGGCACTGTTGTTGGGTCTTCTGCAGTGTTTGTAGCTGCAAGCTTTTTCTTTTAATGCCATTACAAAATGCTTCTTTCAGTGACCCATGGATTGAAAGTGGAGTCCAGATGTTAGAGTTGAGAAGAAAAGTATATGGTCTTCTGTAGCCTCTTTATTTATGTTGCTTCTTTAGCTGGCAAAACTTTGTAATGCATATTTTTAAAAAGTAAATGCAAAATATCTGAAAAGCATACCTGTAATACATGCTTGCACTTCTTTTCTATGCAGGGATTGTTGGAGAAGCAGATGAAAATGGAGAAGATTATTACCTTTGGACTTATAAAAAACTTGAAATTGGTTTCAATGGAAATAGAATTGTAGATGTCAATCTGACCAGTGAAGGAAAGGTGAAATTGGTACCAAACACAAAAATCCAGATGTCATATTCAGTAAGTAATTTGGTGATGCACATGTAATAAGAAATTCTACATGGTGAAATAACTTGAAAATAGGTACTTGTATACCATAATATCTACTGGTATGTTGGGCTGTGTTAGAGGAAGATGCATCTTCACTCCTTCAATTATTCTGTTTTGTTGCTGAAAAACCTTGATAGATTTATTAATAATGAATGTAAAATTATTATTTTTGAAGTACTCCAAACAAACTGGAGCTTCTGTAATGTGCAGAAAAGTGTTTTAGTGGGAAAGGAAGATAGTCTGAAATAATGGAGACTGGAAGTATAGAGGACCCATGAGAAGGTACACATTGTCTTCATGCTTGGACTTCTGACCTTTCTATCATGGGTTTGAACTGGGTTCTCAGCTAGTATAAGAACCCACTGTAAGCCTTTATACTTTGCAAGCAGTTAATGTCAAAATTTACTTTGTTTTGCTATTCCAGTAGAAATTTCTTATTTATATAACATGATTAATAAGGTTTTAAATTTTTTAAATTTCTTTTTCTGAAGCTCTCTGATATGATATTGAGTTGCTATGATAAAAGGTAATGAATAAACAATGCTTGCTGGTTGAGACAGATGATTTTTTTCAGTTTTCCTCTTTATTTCGTTGATGTTACTTAAATCAAGTGATGGTTCACTTGTCATGTTCAGCACATTTGTATAGTGAAACCATTTTTTAATGCACTGCTTTTCTTCCATATGTGGATGTCAGCATAAGATTTTATTTCAGAAAATATTCTTGCCACAGTTACATTTCTTTTGTGCTGAATAAGTTGTATAGTTTGAAGAGCAGATAACTGGATTTTGTATGTGCTTTTTAGTATTACATTTACACTAATTTCCCTATTTTTGCTGCAAAATTGATAGTAGAAATTTCAGAATTTGCTATTTCAAATTCTACCATCATTGTGAAGTCCATTTGCTCTAAATTTGAAGTTGGACAGCAACTTAAAAGCTGAGTAGCAGCCAGTAATAAAAGTAACATAAGATATTCCCTTAAAAGACTTTTTAGCATGGAAAGCTCAGGACTTCTCTCTCAAATTCTGTTGGCACTGCTGGGCAATTGCTGGTCTGTCCTGTGTGTGGTGTTTAATTCACAGATTGTCACTGGTGGATTTGTTCTAAACTGTGCTTCATAGTGGCAGATGCTCAAATGAGAAATGTATCTGCTTGAAACAATTTTGAAAGCTACTAATCTTGAACAAAGTTGTAATTTGAACTGAGGAACATTAATATCAAACCTCAAAGTGAGTAGTGCTGGCATCTTGGGGTTTTTAACATGTCTCAGGACTGTGGTGAGTGATTGGGGTGTTCCATCTACATTTATATGCTTTCTTCTATACTCAGTAAGAGAACAGCTTTTGGAAGGGATAGTTACTTCTCATGAATTTTAAAATAGGTATGTACAAGGGGGCTACATTTGTTTCACTATCACTAAAAATGCTAGTAATTTTTGGCATGCTTTTGAAAAAGATTTTCAGGTAGGCTTGTATTTAGTTTGTAAAATTATTTTGATTTTTAAATGCAGTCTTGCAAAAATTGACAAAAATATTCTGTGCTACCATATTAGCACCATATAGTTCATTAATGCAATTACATTTTCCAAATCAAAAGCAGTCCTCTCTGCAGCTGGTGGAGAACTGACAGCTGTAATATGCTGTTACCCTGTGATAGTCTGTCCATAATCACATACTTTTCCAGTTGGTTTCAGAGTAATTTATTGGCAATTGAAGTGTCTAGATTCATAGTAATTACGTGTATGTGTGTGTGTATACTTATGTATATATACATTGTATAGATTCTGTAATCATGAAAAAGGTTTGTGGTATTTGACAACTACAAATCTGTATCTTTGGTTAACCTCACAGAGATTAACCCTTAGAGAGAACTGAGCTAGTACAAGACTGATTCTTCCTTGTTCTTAAACACAAGCATGTACAAGATTAGATCCATGAGGAGAGGAGGCTGGTGTTCATTCTGTGCCTGACCTGTAGATGCCAGTCTTTAAGAATATCATTCCATTGTTTTTTTGCCAAACCCCATTCATATTGAAGGAGACACCTAAAGTGGATGATTTTTAATATGGGTTCTGGGTTTCTGCATGTGACTATAGCTAAAAATACTGTAAGGACCTTTTCAAATATAAACATTTCTCTCTTCAGGTGAAATGGAAGAAATCAGATGTGAAGTTTGAAGACCGTTTTGACAAGTATCTTGACCCATCTTTCTTTCAGCACAGAGTATGTATTGTTCCACGACAGCCTTACAATACATCCCTTTACAATGGTTGCATTAGTTTAGATGTCATGCAGTTTTTGGATTACATCATTGAATTTTCATATTTTCCAGGTGCTCTGGGACAATAAAGCAGGGAGGTCTGACTATTGTTTAAGTGGCAGTGTTGCTACTAAAATAGGATGGCTCCGTTCTTTTGGAGTGCTTCAAGAAATGTGCAGGCAAGCCTCAAGCTTGCAGAAAATACAGTGTAGTTCAAAAAAATCCTTTCAAGTGACCAGAAACAATGAAATTTCAGGGACAGGACTGTGTAACTATGTAAGCTGAATAAATGCAGTTGGCCATTGGTACACTTCTTTCTGATGCAAATGCAGAGCAAAAAGCATCAACTAAGCCAGTTATCAGTTGTGGCGCTATCAGTTGTGTTTAAATCTGAGGTTGTAATCTCCTTAAGGGTAGTGTACTGAGCTGTGCTGTTTTCTGAAAGTAGGGACTTTGGAGCTCAGTGAAAACCAGAAGTATATGCTTTTGAGAGCAAAAATAATGCTGCTGCACATTTTCATCCTGTGCAGAGCAGTAATTCCTTTGGATTCTCTACTTGAGCCTTTTCTCTAGGAAGGCAGCAGTGCATGGTGTTGCCTTTTGCTTATCAAGGGAGCATGCACAGCCAATTGTTCAAACTTTGCTGCTGCTTAACTAAGTTGTGATAACTTGGTCCTGATTGAGGCTGGCTGATAAAAAGGTTTATGAGTGGTGTTTCACAGGCCAGTTTTAGTGTCACTCTCTGAAAATGTAGTGTTACTTTGCTAGTGCTGACAAGCTGTCCTTATAGGCAACAATTTATCCTTATTGGAACAATTTGAAACACATTTACAGTTCTAAATTTTATGTGTGTGTTTTCTTTTTATAGATTCACTGGTTTTCAATTTTCAATTCTTTTATGATGGTGATCTTTCTGGTTGGCCTGGTGTCTATGATATTAATGAGAACTTTGCGAAAAGATTATGCAAGATACAGCAAGGAGGAAGAAATGGATGATATGGTAAGACCTGCATCCATGCTTTAAAAACTCCTTTTTTAAGGCTTATTGTTTTCCTGTTGTACATTCATTGTGTAAGATGGTCTGAATGGCTTTCTTCAATTGGACAGAAAATGCCTTTTGTGTGTCTTGAAAGTGTTACTGGTTTTCTTTATAACATGCTTCTAGGTTGCGACCCAAAAATCTCTCTCTAGTCACTGTGTTAATGTTCATATCCAACCTTAGGATTAACTAGGTCCATTCTGACTTTGTAGTAAAAGCCTGATATACTCCTAAGCACCTCAGAGGCTTTAGGGACAGGGAGGGATTCTGGTAGATTTTATTGTGTCATATATTCAGGTAGTAATTTGTTGTCTTCATAAGCATCTGAAAAGTTGTTGATTTGATGCATTTAGAAGACAAGACACACTTCACTTGAAGTTGCTTTATTAAATCAGACCTTTTGTTTTTATGTAGCTTGTGTGTTTGTCTTGAATTGTCATGACTAGACTTAAAATTTGTTGTTGTTGTTCCCAGGACAGAGATCTAGGTGATGAGTATGGGTGGAAGCAGGTCCATGGAGATGTGTTTAGACCATCCAGTCATCCTCTAATATTTTCATCGCTTATTGGGTCTGGCTGTCAAATTTTTGCTGTGTCTCTTATAGTTATTATTGTTGCAATGATAGAAGATTTATACACAGAGTAAGTATAATTGTGCCATGTCTTCCATATATAAATGTTTAAGTGAATAAAATAATTACAAAAATTATTGTTCTAAAGGGCCTGAATAAAAGTGTTTGAGAGTCTCTAGTAGTAATCTGCAGATCAGATGTAGTATTAAGAAGTGCTCTTTTAATTTGTAATGAAACTTTGTCCTACTGTTATCACGTTAGTCGGTCTCCTTTGATTTTCTCTTTTAGTGCTTGCTTTTTGAATGATTTATTTTGAAACTAGTTTGTTGTTCTGCAGAATCACTAGTAGATAATATGGGAATTATATGTATTCAGAGGTACATATTTCACTCCTGGTTTCATCCAGAGTGACAAGATGTTATTATATTTCTGGCCCTATTTCCCCACCATGTCCTGTGAAGACTGAAATAAGAGTGTGCTCTGTTGTGAATAGTCCTGTTTTCTGCTGACAAGTCAGTATTAAGTCAGTCTTATCACAAGTCTGCTTGGGAATTAAAATGTAATTCTTTAAGTTCTTTTGAACACATTGTGCTCAGCCTGTGTTGATGTAAAATCCCCAGAAATAGGTCCTGACTGGAAAGAATCAATTAAAAAAAAGAAATAATAGTCAAGTTTAAATTTAACGCACTACTTGTAGTTCACCTGTTTTCTTCCTTTACCTTTTAATTTGATTGAGATTTTTGGGTTACTGGGTGGACTTCATCTGCTTCTGTAGTGATTGTGTTTTGGGTATTGGAGGGAATTATTGGCTTGTGTTTGGGTTTTTGGGGTTTTTTACAATTGATTTGTTTTAAGCAGTGGCTAAACTTTGGTCTCTATCACCTGTAACTTGATTTTAGCAAGTTGTAATGCTTCTAATGTGCCGCTGGAGGGAACTCTTGCTTTTCAATTTAGTGGCCTTTTACTGGTGTGTTTAAAAAGCCACTCTGTAGTACCAGAATCTTGGCATATTTTCATTTTCCATAGGGTCTTATTCCCCTCCTCGTGTCTCATGGTGGTATTTCTAGACAGGAATGCATACACACTTTTAATTGTGCAGCATATCAGCCCTTCAGAGGACAAAATGAAACCATTTCAGAATGTATGTGCCCTGTAGAGAGGCTGTAGGTTAGTCATGTCACTTGTAAATTATCAGAATAGTATTTTTTGAAAAGATGTGTGCACTTAGTCTTTTATTGCAATAGGCCTTTCTGTCACTTTCAAAGTGAATTTAATTCTGGGTGTGTAGTGGAATAATTGACCAAATGTGGTGCAGGCAATTGTTATGTTTAGGAAAACAGCACCAAGTCTGGTGTTTTTACTGCTAGTCTGGATTTACACAGTGGCAGTGTAAAGCCATCTCAGACTGTGCCTGCTCTTGGGGGTTTTGCATGTGTCTCTAAATTGTCTTCAGTTACGAGAAACCTTTAAAAAACAAATACTGGTAGAACAGTCCTTCAGTGTGTGTGACCAGCAGGTATATTTGCTTTGGTCATGCTGTCATGGAAGCTTAAGTGCTAAAGATTGCTTCTTTGAGTACAGCAGGCATCCAGGAATGGTACCTCAAAAACCAAAATGGCAGTAACTAGAATCTCTCAGAGCAACTAATTTGAAGGAAGTACAGTAAGTCAGCTGAAAACCTACTGCTATTTGCTGTTGAAGAATAGCAGAGGGATGTGGGGAAACAATTCTATTAATGAATAACATTTATATCTTCCTATTCTTAGATGCGATCTTTTAAAATGTATTTGGAAATGGCTTCTTTGATTTAAAATTATTAGCTTTGCTTGTAAAATTTCAGAAAAATTATGCCAAAATTAGTAGTCCAACGTTTAATGGGGTGACATTTAAAAATTACTAAGCTCTTCTGATTGCACTACTTAATGCTGATTTGTGACTTCATTATAGTATTTATAGTTTCTAAATCTAATTTTCTGCCAGATGAGCACTTTCCATCTTAAAAGTTAATTTCTGGGGGATGGCAGAAACATTATTCACAATCTTAGTATATTTTTGTTAATACTGGCCTTTTGACGTTTTATCTGCAGTTGAATCTTACACTTAATGGATGTCATGTAAATAATTCTTTATGCACAAAGTACACACCTCCAAATGTCAGGGTATATTTATCAGAGGTGAGAGTCTGTACTCCAGTTAAAATAAATGCATATTAGGAAAGTATGTCAAAACTCTCTTTCCCACATTGAATTAGACTTGGCCAAAGCCTTGTGTACAAACAGTTCTCATTCTTACGCAGATTTTACAGTTCAAGCACTTCTAAATATTTGTAGTACATAAAAATATTAAATAACTGCTTCTGCTAAAAATACAGGGGTTTTTACTCTAATCATGTTTGGTTTTGTATGTCATTATGTAATTCACCAAAAACATCCCTTCTTGTAGGAGAGGATCAATGCTTAGTACAGCTATATTTGTTTATGCTGCAACATCACCAGTGAATGGATATTTTGGAGGAAGCCTTTATGCTAGACAAGGAGGTAAATTGTTTTCATGTTTCAGCATTTTCATTGCATTGTTAAATTGAGAAGTTACTATTTTCTGATTTGCACCAATGTAGAAGAGTCCTCTTGGAGTTAGATGGAATCCATTAGATTCTTAATAAACAGGAAATATTTTGAGTATATTTAACTTTCATATTATCTACTCAGTCAGTACTGGCTATGCTTTCTAAAACGGTAACTGAAGTCTTAGGTTAATTTAAAAGAGGTAAAGGACTTTTAACAGTTGTGATTTCCAAATTGCTTGTTATACTCTTGTATATGATTTTTGGCTCATGACATCCACAGAGTATAATAGCCTTTCCCTTTTGTGTAACATGTTGTTAAACAGCTCATGTCATCTTCTCCAGTTGACTCCTACATGGTCCTCTTCTTTATGTACTAGGGGGGTTATGTTAGGTTAACACAAAAAGGACAAGTATAGATTATTTACTAGACCATTAATTGCAGATGGGGAGAACTGTTTATAACATCTTTTAAAGAAAGTTGTTCTACTTTCCAGTATTGCTCAGCTTTATACTTAGCAAATCAAAGTAAGCATCAGTAGAGAGCAGAAGCCAAGTAAAATTGACAGAAGATTTGAACAGGCTGTCTTCAAATGCTCTCCACTATGCCCCTGAGTTATGACCAGTTAGATTCTTGCAGTGCACTAGCTTCATCCATTCCCTATGCTGCAATAAAAGAATAATCAATATCTATTATCTTCTAGAGTGCTTAAAAAAGTAATTCTGGTAAGTTCACAAAAGAAAATTTGTATCTTTTTAGCATGATATACCTGTTAATGTTCAATCTCAACTCTACTTTGAGTTTGGAGGTTGGAAGTTTATTTTCATGTGACTTGTTTATAAACCTAGCAATTTGTACAAACCAGATCTACTTAGAAAGGGGTTGCTGTGCTGTAATATATTGTGATCTGTAGTTGAGCCAGATAAGTTGTTTTGTTTTTTTTACAGGTAAACATGTATCAAACCATTAAATGCAGATTATATGGGCACATGGTGAAAATACTTATGATTGTCTTGAAAAAATATGCTTTTAAAAATATTTTTTACTTACTGAATATTAATACCACAGTGTATAAATGTAGACAGTTTTTAAGAGCATAGAAAGTACAGGGAATACAGATAGGGGAAATTTTTAAGATGTTGCCCAAAAGGATTTCTTTGATCTCCAGGGAGCTCTAAATTTAGTAATAACTGCTAACCAGTGTTCTGTTCCCTTGATGCTTGGAGTTTAGAAATCACTTTTTTTCTACCTTTTCAGTTGTTGAAAATGTCAAGAGTTCAGTTTTCTTGTATGTTAAATGCTGTGGCATTTTGCTTTTTAGCAGGGATAGCCCTTTCCTTAATGCATCCTGAAGGTGTGTCTGGGTTGGCTGAGTCCAGCTTGGACTGAGGCAGCCCCGAGCAGGAGCTGCCTGGAAGCAGCTGCAGTGCTGGGCTGTCCTGGGAGCAGTGCTGGGCTCTCCTGGGAGCAGTGCTGGGCTGTCCTGGGAGCAGTGCTGGGCTGTCCTGGGAGCAGTGCTGGGCTCTCCTGGGAGCAGTGCTGGGCTCTCCTGGGAGCAGTGCTGAGCTCTCCTGTGCTCCTCAAGCATTGTCTAATGCAGGTGCTGCACAGGGCCAGCTCTGCTATCTCTGGCTCTTCTCATCTGCAGCTACATGCACCCTCAGCTTTCACACCCCAGGTTCTTTGGCCAGCTTAGTCAGCATATGCTGTTCTTCAGCTGAAACGGTCTCATGCTGTATCCCTTTTCTTCTTTTCACCTGGCCCACTGAATTGATTCATGTGCTGCATCTTGTGAGTGACCAGAGTCAGCCAAAACTTAGTTTGCTCTTAGCTCTTGTATTGATGTAGTATGTTGTTACTTACTTCTTTCACCTTTTTGTGGGAGAAGTAGTCAAACATGTAAATTCTGGAGTGCTTGCTAGTCCTTTTTTTTTTAATGTGCTGCATCTTACCAGTCCCATTGAAATGTCCCTTCTTACAGGAAGGCGATGGATAAAACAGATGTTCATCGGAGCCTTCCTTATTCCAGCAATGGTGTGTGGAACTGCCTTCTTCATCAACTTCATTGCCATCTATTACCATGCTTCAAGAGCTATACCCTTTGCAACCATGGTGAGTTGTTTCATTGGCAAATTTAAATTCCACTGTACACACAGAAAAATGTTATTTTTTTAATAGAAATATATTTGTGAGTCATAGTTTAGAGCTAGCTAATTAGAAGTTTATCATGGGAGGGAGTTTAAGGTGCTTCAAATATAATTAATTTTAATCACAATAGCAGCAGCTGCTGGATGCCAAAAACAGTCTTATCTCTGCTTAAAGTGACACTTAAAGTGACGTTGCTGATTCTAGTCACCTCCTCATTAGTAGTATTTTCAAAGCATGCCTAAATACCAGCTTTTTACCAGTCGAATTCATTTCTGTAAAGCCATTAAATGTAATATAAAGCTAAGCATGTTTATAAACTCTTCACTTATTTTTTCTCATTTTCTTCTTCGAGAAATTAGATTAAAATTCTGTCTTTGAGTATATTTGTGTTAGTTGGTCAATGTGTCCCAAAGCAATATTGTGTTATTTTTTCTTTCCTGTGCTAGTAGCTATATACAGTATTGTCATAAAAGTTTACAGCATTGATCTTTGATATGTGTAAAGAGACTGTTTTACTGCTAAGCCAGCAGTTATGGTATCCCATTTCTCACTTGTATTCTCATTTGGAGGCCAGGAATGCTGAGGGAAGGCGATTCTACATGTACTGAAGTTTGCCTTGTGAATCTGTTCAACTGATTTGTATTTTAAGACTGTGGGCATGTGCATGGAAAAGCAAACTGATATATAAATCTTCAGGGTTCAATTCACCAGGATGTTAGGACTTTCCATACACAGTGATTTTAATGTTTGCCAGGTTTTATGAAAGTGTTTGAATCATTGTGACTGTGGCAATAAAACTTGAGTGGAGTTAGCAGGCGAGCAGGTTATGAATCGGAAACTTCATCAGCATGAGCAACGCTCTAATGGCTTCAAATCAACAAGCTGGTTTGTAGGAGGAAATGGAAATTGTTTGCAATTACCATGTTATGCTTCAGGTTGAAGTCCCCAGGAAGCCCTCTGGCTTTATGGATGAGATCCCTTTGTGTCTTTCCACTTCTGTTTTCACTGTAAAGAGGCTTCCAGAATTGTCTAATGCAAATTTGCTGCTTTCTTGGGGAAATAAAACCTCTGCCACCTAAATGTATTAGAATACAGAAATAACTTCCTTTATCCTGACATGTCTTGAAACCATCCTCCTTGATTTAAATTGCTGGCAAGTATAGCCCCTTCATCTTGACTGCCATAAATATGGAAAAAGCAGAAACTGAGTCACTGAAAAAAGTTCCATAGCAAAAAGGTTGCTAAGAGACTATTCTTAAATATGTCCTCCTGTACTTTACCAGTTTTGCATTGCCACTTCCAGTGGAGTATCTAAGTAGTCTCTGTGACTTATTTCTTCTGTCCAGAGGAGTTTTCCTAGGGAATTTAGGCGAGGGCAGATGATAGAATCAAATCCAGGACATCCAAACTGACACTCAGTTCTGTGTCTTTCACCTGCCTGGTATCTGTTTTTCTACACTTTGTCTTGAAGTCCTCAAATTGATTGGGCTCTTCAGGACCTTCGTGCATTGTTGTAGTCTGTTTTGAACTTCAAAACTTCATTCACCTTGTATAACTCATGCCTGGTGTGTGGGATCTCCTTGAAGGTGAAAAGTTTGAGAAAATGGAAAGTTTGTTTCTGAAATCAGTCTTCACTCTTGTGACTCTGCCCTTAGCCCTTTTAGAAATACTTGCAAGCTATCTTACCTATGGAATGCCAAACCTTCTGCAGGGAGATAAGCCATGAGCATAAACAAAGGCTTAATCTCTTCCTTGGGGTAGCTTTCAACTGTCCTTCTCTTCAGAATGATATCAAGAATGTGACAGGTTTTATTCAAATATGAGACCTTTTTAAAACTTAATGCATTGAAGCTTTCTGGAGCATATGAAGGAGATACAAAATCTGCTTTTTTCACTCATCCCTTCACCTTTATAGGAATGCAATGGGTACTGTTCAGTTATTCATGCCTTTGGAGTCGAAATTTGATTTTTTGGTGTATTTTGTTTATTATGTCCTCTTACTAGTGAACATTGAGTTCTGAAGTTGTTATACATTTTGACTTACTGTCTGTTGATGTTTATCAGTCTTTCTGGTATATTTAACAATCATCTTTATGTTTGTGTGTGTGTGAGTGATATGTAAAAAGTGGAGTGTGGAAGATTTAAGAAGAGTTTTAAAATAATGGTATGTGTAGTGATTTCTCCATAATAAGTTTGAGGAGTATGTTACTAGTTCTGTGCAGATATACTGACTAATACAGAATTTCTACAGAGTACAGCATGATTGAATTTGAAGGGACCATTTTAATTCTGGCATTTCATAAGTTGTGACTGCTTACCTTGTTCTGTGAGTGATGCATAATTTAAAGATTTCCATTAAGGCTACTATGACTAATGTAATATTCTGACTGCAAAATCTATGCAGCTTCTATTAACCGTTTTAAGATTTATTATTTTTGTTTTGTTTGAACAGTAGGTTCCTTTGTGGCTAAGGTTTCCAGTGCATTTTTAATGATTTAATTAAATAAGGTTAAGGACACAGTGTTTCTCTTGGGATTGAGACCCTGTTTGCATCTTTTGTACCTTGTTTTGAAAAGAAAAAATTGTTTCCTCCAACAGATAGCTTAATCCAAGCTGCAGGTTTCCCTGACAGCTTTAAGTTGATATGACTATTGACTGCCACTAAAAAAAGAGGACCTGGTAGTGCCAACCATTTTCATGCCTTAAGCCAGATAAAGAAATATACCTCCCTGAAAAAGGGAGAAAATCCTATTACATGCATTCAGCAGAAAGTGACTGTGCAACCATTGGTCAGACTCCTTCATTTTGCTAAAAATAGACACCCATTAATTCTTCTGCCTACATTTTCAACAGTTCAATTTATTACCCAAAGCTGCAGTCTAGATTAACAACTTAGTTGTAATAAAACTTGTAACACTTTTTGTTGAAGCCTTCTATTCTTTTTCTTGTAATGTTTGGACAACGTGCAGAAAACTGTTGTGTTACAGAAATTTAGTAACCTCTATATGGGAGGGAGTCTCATGACTCAGAGTGCATTTTGGTAGCTGACAGGGAAGATCAAGCTGCTGCTTTGACAGTTAATTTTTATTGCTTTTCTTCCCTGTGCATTAAGCAGACATGGCACCATAGCCTGCCAGTAGCTGTTTAATATTAGATATGCTCATAAAAATTTTAATTATCACCCTTGAAAGAAGTTTAATCTACAGTTGTCAGGAAATATGAAACATGTGGCACTAGGAAATAAATTATATCCCTCTTCACAATGTTTCCTTTCAAATATGGAAAACTGAATTCTGCACATTCAGTCAAGGGCAGTAGAATTTTTTTTTCCCCATAAAAACAAAACAAAAAAGGAGTTAGAAGGAATGCAGGCTCGGTGAGGTTGACAGTCTCTTCTATGGCAACTGAAACCTGCAAACTAAATTGGCTGCTAGTGTGTAAGATATTTTGTACAACAAAGTTGCAACAGTCAAAATTAGAGAAGTATTTTTTAATGTAGTGGCTTGGTACAAAAACTCACATAATTTGTTTTGGTTAACATGGATTATAGAAAACCTCTTCTTGTTTGCTTGATGAAAAACCAGGTCTGAAGATCTGATGTATTTGCCTCTTTGCATAATTTGTGTTTTATGAAGTAGTTGTTAAAATGGTTCTCTGAATTTCTCCTGGCTGATGTTACAGTAATAACTCTTAAAACACTCAGAAAGATGTAACTTTCTTATCTCTGCCTATCACATAACTGCTGTTAATGGGATTGGATTTTTTAGTATGTTGTCAGTGACTTTGGCAGGAGGGTTGAGCAGGTTTGTGTGTTGGTCTTGTCTTCATTTCTCCTTTCCATTTGTGATGGTGGAGGCCATTAAGTGCCTGAACTGCTTTTCCCATTATATTCTTACTCTTACCTTTTAGGCAGAAGTCTTGTTACTTCACCTTTAAGACACTTGTTACCCCAGTAGCCTGTGTTTGCTTCAGTTAGGATTTAGACTCTGTAGGTTTGGATATTGCCCAGCCTGCAAACATTGTCCTTGCCATGTGTGGCTACGGGCACTACCTGTTTAGTTTGAGAGGAGGGGCGCTGGTTTTACCTCAGCCCTGTAATTAAGAGGAATATTCCTGAAAACCATCAGCTATCTTCAGTCATCTCTTACATCCAGGGAAGGCTTGTTACTGCCAAGAGTGAAGAAAGTGTTTTTACCAGTCATCAGTCTGAGCTGGTAGACTACCTGTGAGTCAGTGAGTGAAAAGCAAGAAAGAAGATGCTGCTGAGTTCAACATGGTGTGTACAACCAGTACTGGTTTTGTTGGTCATCTCACCAGGGCCAGTAGGTTGCTGTCTCTAGAATAGTCTTATCTCAGTAAAAAGAACATGCACATCATCTTCATTCTGGACAGTTTATCAGAGCCAGGTGGGAGTAGGAGGCATTCCTGAGCCTCTTCTGTGGTTCATCCTTGTTTGCTCAGTTGTGTCTCCTTTGCACCCCAGACTTAGCTCAGATAATTTTTAGACTCCTGAAGTGGCTCCAGGATAAAAGGAAAAAAAATGTACTTCACTTGCACATGTCCTCAGAACACAGGATAGCATTAAGACAGGTGGCATTTCACTGTTTTACAAAATGTTGACTTTATCTAGTGCTGCTGCTTGGTATCACTGAAGATGCTGGCTGTTCTGTTTGAAAGTTAATTTTTCAGCCAACTGGATAATGTGAGGTGTTACACCATTATCAGTTATAATTTGACTGATCTGATAATGAAACCACAGATTTTTCTGACGGATGCCAATTATAGGTGTACTAGAGATAGCTTGACTGTACTTACTGAAGTCATTATTCAAGGGACCTTGATCTGTCTCAGCTTGTTTTATGCAGATGAACATTTTAGATTTCAAAGCTACTGCAGAGTCAGTTTCCTGGATAACACAACAGCCAAACCCTGCTGGATCAAGTTGAGCCCTTTCCTTTCCCTACTGGTTTGAAGCCATTCAGCTGAGGGTGTCACTGCAATGAAATGCTACTGACAGCCTTGTTTCATCCAGGAGTTTGCCAGCTAATCCGTAATTAAGGCCTAGATGTTCCTTGCTTGATTCCTTGTCCAAGGTTATAATCTTCCTGTGTGGATTCTGTAAAATAGACACATTTTGCAAGATGGACAAAAGCAAGATGCTAAGTGTTGTTCCAGGTGAGCTTAGAGCCCAAGGCAGTTCCTGCACAGTTTATTTATGCAGTAAAGCAGTGGATTCTCTTTCTACCACTGTCCCCAGTCAGGTGAAATTTTAAGATCAAGAAATTAAGCTGCAGTCATCTTAAAACCTGCACTATAAATGACAGCTGTGGCTGCATGAGCAGTACAGATACCCTTTCACTGCCTGGATCTGAGCTTTCTGCCTCAGCCAGGTGTGAAAGCTGCCTGCTGGAACACCACTACAAAGCAGGATGGACCACCTGACACATCCAGAGGGCCTTGCTGCAGGAAGCAGAGCACATTCTCCTTGAAAATGGAAGTGGTTTCAGTATGTTCAGCTCAGAAATTTTTTGGATACTATCCAAGCCTTAATTCTTGAAAATCTCTTCTACCCACTGCACCTAAAGCAAGCTGGGACGTTTTAATGAGGATTTTAATAAATGTAGCACTCAAGATGATGTTCTTTGATATTTCTGATACTTTTTGACATTTTTCTCTGAAAATTCTCATCTGCTCCTTCATTTAGACTGAGAAGTTTTCAAGGGCAGAACCTGTAACCATTGAGTGAGTTGTATGCTTCTCCTGAAATTTATTCTTAGGCAACCTCAGTTTCCTACTTAAAACATTATGCTTGCTTACCTACCTGTGTTTTTTGAGTAATGGAAGAAGATAAATGGGAGATACTAAATTAATTGTGTAAAAACTGCTTTATTGTTATTATATTATTTGTCCTTCAAGTATAAGTACAACTTAGCGTCTCCTTATTTACCAGTGACACTTCGTATTTTAGTGGCTCATGAAGTAATTCTTTAATAACCTCTTCTCAAAGATATACAGGGCAGTGTGGAAAGTGCTTCTGCTTGTTGAGCCACCAGTTTGGTGTACCCCTCCTGTGAAGCATGAAGGCTTGCTCCATCCAACCCCAGGCAATGTTTTCCCTTCACATCTGACCTAAGCTAGCCATTAATATAAGAATAACCCACTGACTTTAGTCAAATGCTGCCTTAAATTTGTGTGTTTCACCTATTGCTAAGTTTGTATTGAACTAATGTCATTCTTTCTTTTCAGGTGCTTGCTGTAGGTTTCTTAGATACAACATACATGAGCAGCTTTCATTTATCCTCTGAGTAACTGCTTCTAAAGCAAGTCAATGTGTGCTCTTAGATCTGTTCTGCTCTCTGTTGTTTTGCATTAATCTGCTGGACTTTGCATTCTGCTGGAGTGAAGGCAAATGTAGCTCCTTTGCTCAGGAGGCACCAGGGTGTACACACAGCCTCAGGCAACAAAGCCATTAAAAGGCAATATTTTCATATATTTGCATAGAAAAGGTCACAGGGTCAATATTCAGTACTGTAGTGATTGCATTATGGGCAACTGTTCTGTCTTTAATTATCAATATCAAAAAGTTACCAAACTGTCTAATACTATTTCTTTTTGTGCTAAAGAGTTATGAATTCAGAATGTCTTACTTCACACTTGAAATTTTCCTATTTTTGGGAGATAAATTATGTTGCCTTTAAGGAATAGAAAAAATGGAGCTAGATAAGTATAGTGGCAGAAAAAGATTCATGATAGATTTTTAGAGAGGCTGTTCCACTGGAAAGAGCTGAAGCATTGACTTGACCTTTCTTTTCTGTATTGTGCATAAACTTGATTTCTATATGTAAGTAGGTTTGTTGTGTTTCTAAATTATGTATCTTTGTGTACCAGTGGTCACTGGTTTCTTTGTCAGTCAATGTTCTTAGTTGCCTGGTTAATGCATAGTGGAAAACATTGAACCCAAAATTGAATCAAAATTGGTAGCATTCTTACATAGTTTTGTGATTGTTATTGGGTTGGTTGGCTTCTTTTTTTTTTTTTAATTGGATTAAAAATTCTGCACCCAACAGTTGTAATTTTGTGTGCAACTACCTAACTGCTAGATGTTAATTCCCAGAGAAATTCCCACTTGCACTCTCTGCAAAACTGTAATAAACACTGACAATACTTTCTGTTATGAAGTACCATGAAGATTTCCTTTTATTTCTTGTGCAATGTATTGAGTATAATAATTAGGTGGAAACAGTAAACCATTCTGCAATGGTTCTGTTCTCTCAACTGATGGATGAAAATAGGCTTAATAATGTTTATTAAAAAGTTTCTCAGGGAAAAAATACTTCTATTTGATAAAATATATGGTGACTAATGCTTCATAAGTAGGAGTATGATTCTACGGCAATAACTACTAAGGACTAATACTGGTTGATTATCTTATATTGTTGTCTTAGACCTGTTTTTTTAATTGCAACTGTAAATTTTTGCTTGCAGGTGGCAGTGTGCTGTATTTGTTTCTTTGTCATCCTCCCACTGAACCTCGTTGGGACTATTCTTGGCCGAAATCTGTCAGGACAGCCTAATTTCCCATGTCGTGTCAATGCAGTGCCTCGTCCTATACCAGAGAAGAAATGGTAAAGACGAGCATAATGTTAACTAGAAATATTCACTTCAATACATTTAAAATGGCTTTTCTGGTCTTCGGCTTTAATGGAATAATTCCTCTTAATTTAAATTGAGTTATGCCTAGAAGAACCGCTCAACTGACATTTTCCTAATATGATTTTTCTTTTGAATTAAAACACCATGGTTAATAGTTGTAGCAGATTTTACACTCCTGGATTACTGATTCACATTTTTCCTGAAATGTTCTTTAGTCCCTGTGTAAAGGAGGTGGTGCCAACTCAGTTCTTGTATAGATATATTGACACTAAAACCTCTCCACTTCAGTTAATGCCTCTTACAGGTTTAGGATTGAGTGTGCCTTGGAGGCAGAACTGCTCTGATTAATGGTCTCCTGACACAAACTGAGACATATTTGCAGGGTTATGGTGGGGAGAAGCTTGCAATGCTGTTCCCAATTCTGTACTTTTGTTGATGGCACAGAGCCTGAAATATTATAGGTGTATGGTTTGAACTGTGAAGAAGGCTTTATAATTTTTGACGTGAATGCAAAGTGGTGCCTAGTCTTAGGTTTTTGGAAAATTATGAATGCAATCACTTTTTCCTATTAATTTAATTCTGAGGTGAAAGCAGCTAGCTACGGAAATTAAAATATCCTCAGAGGATTTTTTAATAGACTTCTCTTACTTTCCCTGTTCAGAGGAATGGAACAGATGAAGTGAAAGGGGCACTGAAACATGTACGCCTGTAATGTCCAAGAAGTGCAGCACACTGATTCTCTTGTTAGTGGTGGGTTGTGCAGCTCAGGTGTTAGAATTTAAGTTATATTGTGACCAGTATCTTGGAAATCTGATGGATTTTTCTGGATCAGCATGGCAGTTAAAAATACTTCTCTTGATGATGATGAATTAACACACCATTAGCTTAGACAAGTCTCCCTATAAATAATAAAAGAAGCTGCAAATGAAATCACTGGTTACTAGCTGGATTCAGCATCATTGCAAGTGCTAAAGAGAGGTCACCTTTTAGTGACAGCGTCTTTTACAGGTAGCTGATTATTCATTTTTAACTATATGTTCATGACTCAGTACAGCATTAAAAATGAACACTGGTTCTTATCTATATAACCATTATCCTGTGAAATTTTGCCTGTGCTTTTTGCTGTATCTGTAGCCATCAACAGCACTGTGTTTTCACTGCCTTCCTGCAGGGCTAGTGGATGTCATGGAACTTGATTGCTTCGGCCCTTTCTGTCCAGAGAGATTCTTTCTGTGGCCTTAAGGCTGGTTTGAGGGTTAATCTTATGCGTGTAGGTGATAGGCATCAGCCTCATGTTTTGTTTCAGCTTTCCCTAAGAGTAATTTCTTGTTTTATCCATACATGTGACATTTTTGAGGGAATCTTTCTAATCTGCTGGTATGAGACAGAAGTGTTCTTGTTAGCATGCCTTTTAAACAATCTTCTGTGCTATATTAATAATCTGGTCTTAATATGTTTATAAATGAAAAATTTCAGTTGTCCCTAAACTAATCCTAATATCTTTCAGGTTCATGGAACCAGCTGTTATTGTTTGCCTAGGTGGAATCCTCCCTTTTGGATCAATTTTTATTGAAATGTGAGTACCTCAGCTGTTTCCCAGTTTGGTTAAAAATTACAATTTAAGTTGAATTACAATATCATCTGCAAATTTTGTTTACTCTCTTCAGGTATTTCATTTTTACTTCATTCTGGGCTTACAAGATCTACTATGTTTATGGCTTTATGATGCTGGTTCTGGTTATCCTGTGCATTGTGACAGTTTGTGTGACCATCGTTTGTACGTATTTCCTGCTAAACGCAGAGGATTACAGGTGGTAAGTGTTGCACTGTTTTCATAGGTAACCAGATTGGGAGATTTTTGTGGAAAAGCAGTGTTTCTTCAGTCCAGATGGGTCTTTTCCAAGTGCATTGTGGATCTTCTTGGGAAGCCTTTTGGCTGGTTGTATGATGGACATGTGTGTTTACTTTTAGGCAATGGACAAGCTTTCTTTCTGCGGCATCAACTGCGATTTATGTTTACATGTACTCCTTTTACTACTACTTTTTCAAGACAAAGTAAGTAATACTTTTCTTGCTTGAATATCAGATTACTGTATTGCCAAATCAGTTTTATTAATAAAAAACGGGAAACGGCTAGCATAAATTTCTATCTTTCTTTTTCAGGATGTATGGCTTGTTTCAAACATCATTTTACTTTGGTTATATGGCAGTATTTAGCACAGCTCTGGGAATAATGTGTGGTAAGTTCCAGATATTTTGAAGGTTTTCTAACAATTTTTTTTCAGACTCATATTTCTGACCTTAGTTTGTGGTTTTGGTGGTAGAATGTGTATGTCTGCAAGATCTACTCAAAAAGTCTTTAAGAAGAATCTGAAGAGTTTTCTGCTTAGACTTGGTTCCTGCCTTATATAGGAGATTCCTGTGGATTGTGTCTTCTGATAGGAAGATAATTTATCTACTGTGCAGGGAATTTCACCCTCTGTGCAAGCTTGAAAGACTCAGTATTTGGCAAGAAATCCTGCAAAATAAATTCCAAATGAAATTGAGACCATGCTAGCATTTTGCTTTGGATTTTTTACTGTCACCCAAGACAAGGAGCTAGGTGCACCCATTGAGGCATCAATGATGACAGGACCATGTGTGTCTTGTGGCATGTATATATGAGGGTGAGCAGGACAGAGGACTGAGAGCTGGAGGATAACATTTGAAAAATAATTATTGCAATAACTACTGAGAATAAGTATTGCAATATTCACAGGTGAGGAGAGTGCAGGGTGCTCCTGTGTGCAGCTGGATTTCATTGTTTTTTAAGGTAGTATTTTGACAGATGTTTAGACAAAAACATAGTTCATGGCAGGGAGGTCATCTGTTAAGGCCAAAAACTTGTTCACGTGTTAACTTTATTTTTATCACATCCGTTATGATCTTCAGCAAGTGCTTCTTGATCCTTTTGCACTTTTCTATAATGCTGGTTTTTTGGTAAGTGATCTTAATTTAATACTTCTTAGCAGTGAATGAATAGTCCTATAGCTAGTGGGAAGATTTCTTAGAGTTACATTTGAGACATGAGATGTCTTACAGGAACTTACTTCTGTAAAGTATGTATTTCTTGATATCTCAAAAGGTTGGTTAATACCACAATGCTTTATAAAAAGGGAAGGAAATTCATCATTTAACAGCTGAGTACCTGCTCCCCTTTTCTCTCATACAATGTAATTTTGCTTCATCAGGTTCTTGGCACATTACAAGACTTCCCTGCTGTTTCAGTAGTCTTGCAGCCATTTTTTTTTCCTTAATAGGCTTATACTTTTCAGCTCTAATGTTTTCTTTCAAAAGTGCTCAGGCCAGTATTGATTAAAATGTCTGTGATGCAGAAGCCAAGCTTGTCCACCAATTTCTGTAATTAAAATGTGTTTTAAAACACAAAAAAGGGAGATTGTCAAATTATTTCTTCTCATGGTAGGACACTATTTGATGGAATATTAGTGTAAAATCCAAATTTTTTAAAACCAGAAAATACTTCAGCACACTAAACTTTATTTCCACAACTCTATTGAAATTTCTTTTTGTCTTTTTAAATGTGTTGGAAGAGAAGCCGTGAGATTCCTTTTTACTGAGAAGTGCCATTTTCAGCATGTAGAGTAGAGAAGAAAAATCCCCTGTCAAAAAGCATTTGTGTAGGGAACTTGCAGCCATTGAGGTCTAACAAAAACATTTGTGTTAAAGAATTGTGCAGTGTGTGTGCTACTGCCTGTAGGTCTGTGAAAAGGGTGTGGAGCTGTTGTCTGGAGGCTCACAGGAGTGGGCGTGTTGGGCATCACAGTTGGATGTGAGATGAACTGGGTAGGGCCCAAAGCAGCCACAGGGAAACTCGCTGTAGGAATGGATCATCCAGCTCTGGGTTTAATGCCCTTGACAATGCCTAGTGAACTCAATCCCACATGTAGTGGGGTGCTTTGATCCACAAAGTTTGCTGCTCTCTGCAGAGCATCTCAGTTCTGGGACCGGACAGCAGGGAGCCCATGAGAATTTCCAAACCTTTTGAGCTCCTCATGTTTCCCTCTTAGTGGCAGAAAAGGTTAAGACTCATTTCCCAACTTAGTGGAATGCTTAGGGGCTACATAACATAGAAAGAACTCTTGCAATACCAAACTTCAGCATTTAAGTGTGCTTAAAGAGCTTTTAAAAAAAATTGGTGCTTACAAAGTCACAACTGTAGTAATTGGTTTGAAGTAATAGATGGGAATTACTCTCTTTTTGCTGTGTGGTTGTTCTTCCTCAGTATTTGGATTTTTCTGTTTATTTAAAAGCTTATTGTTCTGCTGAAATATGCTTGTAGTCTATTTCTGCTGAACCTAAATAGGCCATAACCAGGTTATAAATATCATCTGCTAAGGTGTTTAATAAACAAATAAAATATTTCCCTTTACTATGTTTTTTTTAATTCAGATGAGCCAGCTGCCTTGCATTTGACTTAGGAGGATGTTCTTTAGTTCTCATTGCCCAGGGTTTTCTGCCTCCCTGCCCCATGTTTTATTCAATGCCTGTGAAGTAGCCTTGAGGCTTAACCCCTGCCTTGGGTATTGGCCATTAGTGGCCTTGCTGGCTAAGGCACCTCTCTGATTCAGAATAGGTTATGATTTGTTTATGGGGATGAGAGCTTGTGGTCTCATGTGACTGCTACTCTCTACTCCTCCCCCTCACTTCCACCTCATGCATTCTCTAGATCCCAAGTGAAGCACAGTTAATGCTTTGTTCTCTCAAATCTCTGTGATACCTGGCATCACATCACTAGAGGAACTCTTACAGAACAAGTTCTGGAGTGTATCTCAGTTTAGCACTGGAAATGGGCATTGGATCTGTTGGCTGGGTTTGCTTTAACAGGAAAAGCCTGGTGAGTCTTAAAGCAGGAGTCCAGTGCCATTATTTTGTTCATTTACTTCATAAGACAGAAGATTAATTTCTTGACAAGCTGCAGAAAAGTCTGCACATGCTTCTGTATGACTCCAAGCTCTCATCACCTCTTCACAGCCTGCGCTTGGGTCTGTCCAAGTGCTGCACTGGTCTCTCCTTGAACAGTCAGGCCTTCCTTTTGCTGCATCCCCAGCTTGCTTGCAGGCAGCAACCTGATCTTGTGTGTGCTGTACTTGCTTTAATGGAACTCTGCTTTGCCCAAGTTGGTAATGCAGATCTCTTGTTGCTGGCCAGTGGAATGGTTGCCATGATATTTATACAACTTGGAATGCTGTCCTGTACAGAAGCTGAATCCACAAGCTCCTTACTGCTCCAAAAATGCCGGAATGATTTATTATTATTTAGTTTTGATTTGTGCAGATTTCTTGATTGGGTATAAATATTGGGCTTTTGAGGGTCTAAAAATCAAAACTTTGTGGCAGCTTAATGGCTGACTTCATAAATTATCCCATCAGTCTCCAGGATTTAAAGAACTCTTCAGAACCTGAATAATGCCATAGTCAGCAATGCCAGCTGCAGGTCTGTACAGATTTAATATGTAAGGGCAAAACAACCACTTTATATTTTTACTGGAAAGTTTGGCTTTAAAATTTTAGCATGGGCTAGACTTCTATATTTAACATTTCTTCTGCAGTTCTGGTGCATGGTAATTCACTGCAATGCTTTGTTCTGGGCTTTTCTTCGTTTCTTCAAGGAAGGAAAAATATCCTTTCTCTTAAGAGTGTTCTTTACCAAGCATCCAAGCATTTAATGTTAGGAGTTCTCTGCAGTGATTTACAGACCCTGACTTCTCTATCCATCCTGTAAAATACGACTGTGTTGGCAGTCAGACAGCAGTTGTTTCTAATTCTTGCCTGATTTTCAACTTCACTTCAAACATGACGATCAGCCAAATTGACTTACTCTCATTTTGCTTGGAAGAGATGAAGACATTCCCTGCTGATATTGTAAGACCACAGTATTTACTGAGTCTGGCAAACCTGAGGTTCTGGGTTTGACCAGGAGAGCTGCTGAATCTCTTTCTGAGAAGAGGCCTTAGTCCAGTGCATTTCTTTAATTTTTCTGGATGTCCTTAATACTGCAGTATTTTGGGTTTAGCATAAACTGTTGCCCCTATCAAAAACTCAGTGACCTGTTCTTTTATTACTGCTGTGACAATGCATGCTTTGCTCATGACTCTTACTAATTTGAAAACCACAGGTTGCAATTTCTTGAACTACTAACTGCTACTTGTTAATGTCTTTGTACAGACCTCCTTGGAGTGTAAGACTCCTGGGATGGGGATCTATTATTATTTGTGCTTTGTGGGAGGGAAGAAGCCATCTGCCAATAAAACACTCATCCAGAAGGCATGTAACTTATAATAAAAACCTGCCCTCCCATCCACCTTCCCTGCAGAGTGGGTGATTGTATGTTTTTTACCCTCTGCTCAGAAAAAATGGACTTGGTTATTGGCAGCAGTAGGGGGGCTGCTATATTTATCCAGGCCAAGTGAGCGTGGCCTCTTGGTAAGATGGCTTAATGGATTTGGATTGCTAGACAGGGGAAGTTCCTGTCAGCCTTTCAGGGGGAACATGGATAATTAGAGTTTGAGGACAAGTATTGCAGGTAAGAAGTTTCTGTGTGCAGAGTAAGTGCTTTGTGTGACTTTCTCTGTTGAAGTGTGCGTGGTTTATGCCGCTGGCTTGTTCTGATGATCAGCTCTCTAACATATTGAATGTTTTTGGTTTCTTTTGCAGGAGCTATTGGTTACATGGGAACAAGTGCCTTTGTTCGTAAAATCTACACTAATGTGAAAATTGACTAAGGAAATAAGAAAATTGAACTATGGATCAGCTCCTGTTTTCCTGGGGATGAATTTGCACAGCAAAAAGCACGAGAAGAGATTTGGGTTTTAACACTGGGCACTATATGGGTCTCCATTTTGTGGATGGCTTAAAGTAACATCTATTTCATTGATCCTAGGTTCTTACTGACTGCTTTCTCCAACTGTTCACAGCAAATGCTTGGATTATATGCAGTAGGCATTACTACAGTATGTGGCTAATCTTTCCCCCCCAAAAAACCAACATCAAAAAACAAAAAACCTAGCTCATTAAAGATGAATAGACTAGCTCTCTTCAGTGAAGAGGACAAACAGTTTGTTTAAAGCATTTGTTCCATTCAATATAAAGAGGGAAACTTGGCTGCTAAAACTACTTGATTAGTAGTCTTCCTGGTACTCAACATTTCTAAATTATGTAAAAATGCTGTTCCAGAAAGATTACTCTTCTGATTTTTACTGCCATTGCCAGGATAGGAGGTATGTTTTGTATTTTCAACTCCAGGTGCTTTTTGGTTTATTTGCAATATCAACTACCCTACACTCATTTGTTAAAAAAATAATTTAAACATATATAAAACTCCCATATGCATGTAATATATCAGCTATTGCTCTAGTTGGACCAACTTCCCTTTATTTATCTTTAAAGTAATATCCAGCTACATCTTAAATCCATCCAAAGAAAATACAGTCTGAAGACGGGATGTGTTCTCTGCAATGCAATTTACTGTACAGTTAGAAAGCAAAATGTTAAATGAAGAGGATTGTTTGTTTTTTAATAAACACTCTGAGGTCTAGATTAAAACAAAACCAACATTTTAACTGAATGTCTAAAGTGATTCTCCTTTTCTCCAAGTTAGTCTTGCATATTTTTTTTGGGTTTGGGTTGAATGAAGATTTTCCTTTAGACATCATACAAGGGGTAATAAGTGTATATAACATTAAATAATGTAACTTAGGTGTAGATCCCAAATGTATTTGGATGTACAGATTTACTACAGAGTACTTTTTCTGATGATTCGGTGTAAAAATGTGTGAATTCGGGTGGCTTTTTACATCTTGCCTGCCATTGCATGAAAAGTTGGGGTTTCTTCACAATGTGTGTATGTCATGCTTTTCTGTTCTATTTCTCAAGCTCTTACAGGAATTAAATTTGTAATTTAGAACATTTTAATTTTTGTTAATCCTATCTGAACACTTGTAACATCAAAAGCACAGTTGCTTTAGAGTGTTCAGAAAACTAAAATAAACTTTTCAGACAAAATGTTTTGATTGTGAAAATAGATGAGTTTGCAATGGAGAATGTTTGAAAAGGCAATACTGCTGAGCACCAGTTTCTGTATACAATGTTAGCGTGGTTTTCATCTATCAATCCCCCTTGCTTTGAATTCAGAATTTGCTTACAACTGTATTGTACAATACAACTCCAAAGTGAGTGACCAACCCAAAAAGATTCTTCTTGGCTGTGGCAAAGTGTTTTGTGATCCAGCCAGTGTACTGGGAAAAGTGGGGTAAGTGTGGACTGAAATAAATGGGCAAATAAAGGTTAAGTCTTTCTAAGATGACTGTTAATTATGCACTGTATTTACTTAGAAATATCCTGAATGTGTTTGTGACAGATTTGAGAGCCACTGGGCTTGATTTTTTCATGGGATTTTTTTTAGACATCTGCCATGTAGGAATGTTTTCATCAGTGTGGCTATCTGAAATAGCCACCATGTAAAAGGTGGCTGCCATGTAAAAGGAAACTCCCTGAATTTAAAAAATGAGCCAAATATTTGTATTGATTAACACTGTACTGGTTCTATATAAAAAGTACAGATAATGCAGTAGCCACAATGAGAAACATCCATATTTATCCTGGTGAACTGTACAGGTAGATAATAGAGGGAAGCAGTGCATCCTTGCTGCATATGGCTTCTGAAAAGTATTTGAGCTTTTAGCTCTGATTTCCCTGGCCAATTTTAACTAATCTGTCAGAAAATAATTAAGTTTTGCTTCAAGTGAATCATTGGTGTCTGTAGGTGAACACTCTGCTGCACAGCAGAATAATTTCTTGTCTGTTTTGTTTTGAAGTACAGGCCAGTTTTAACATGAGCTTACAACCTGGGTCAACAGTTAGTTCATCTTTCTTCCAAAACATGGAGACTTAAAGCAAAGAATGGATTTTTTACTAGTACTTGCTGTGGGAAGCCCTCTTTTCCTTCTAAATCTGAAGTGAGAAGCCATTTTCTCCATATAATAAATACATTAAGTACTCTGCCAAGATAAAAGTTTTTTTAAAGGGAATGTTATGATAATGGGTCTGGTTCTCTGTTTAGAGCCCTGCTATGTGATTAGTCTATCAGAAACTTCACTAAACCATTTGTGAATTTCATTTAATCGCTTTTTAATGCCACAGGATGGTGGGTTGCCTACTTGCTTTTTCTATCCTCTGGTATTACTGGCTTTTGCATATCCAGACAGGATTGTATATCTTCTAAAGTGACATTGGAAGGATACTTACTGCACAGGCATTGCTTTTGTTTCTGCAAGCAGGTTCCTCTGGAGAAGTACTGTTTAAATAATTGACATTTTTATACAGCCACCCTAGCACGTAAGTTGGGAGTTTGCTTTGTTTTCTCCCTTTTGGTTTCTGAAGGAATGCAAAATGTGACCAGTTTTCAACAGCTTGTCTTTATGGTTGCTGTTTGGGGCAAGGCTGTTTGCTCCCCTTCCCCCTCCTTGCCCTCCTCCCCAAAAATGTGGGTATAGCTTGAACCATCTTGCTTAATAGAAATTGGAAGCTCTCTGCTTAGATGATGTAGTCCTTCCTCTTTTATGGAAGAAATAAAGATCTTACAGACAATACTCCTCTTACCATGGTTGTTTCTTAAGAGTTTCTGGTCCTTAAATTCAGGCTTTTTGATAACTCTTGAGTTGGCTGCTCAGTTCTTTTCTTCCCATTTCTTGGTACAGGTGCCAGGGATTTGGGTAAATAGTTGCATAAGCAATAGCCAGTCTTAACCAAATGTTTTAGGTAAATATAATTGGAAATATTTTCAGGTGAGGCAGAGTGCAACATAGAAAGTGCCTCTTGTAATTCATATATGAAAATATATGAATGCTGGATTGGAGGGGATGGACACTGTAAATAATCATTACATTATGCTCTTTTTGATGTCTGAATGTTTTGAAGCCACAGTGTCTATTAATTCCTCTCCAAAATTACATTCCAAAGTGTATAAAGGGCACAAAAATTGTTTTTTGTAGGATAGTCCTAGGTGTATTTCTTTAACAAGTTTCAGGTTAAAAAACAAACCCAAAACACTAAAACAGTAGAAGTGATAGCACATTCTTATCACTATCATTACTGCAGAGCTAACACAAATGAGGAAGTTAGGTTTTGCTCTAACTTCAACATCACCAGTATCCAGCCAGATTTGCCCAAGGGAGTGTATATACACAGTTTCATTGAAGACAGCAAAATTCTGCAACTGTGAGTGCTTCAGGAATTTCTCCACTGCAATGTGTCCGGAAGGCATCAGCTCAGGAGAAGATAAGTCTCCTCCAGTCTGTGGACAAGTAAACTGAACGGTTGGAGCTGGAGTTTAGGGCTCCTGTTTTCCTGAATGAATTCTTGACTCTGCAGCTTATGGTTCATTTCAAGGCTGTTGGAACTGTAGATTGATGAAGAATTCCAGTTTGGGATCCCTTGGATCTTTTCCAGGTTAATGCTCTATGGCAGAGTAGCCCTGCAATAGCTGTTAGCACTGCTGCCATCCAAAGTCAGGGTCTCATACCAGGGTTAGCCCTGAACAAAAGCCCCTGCTCTTGTTGGACTGTTGGAATAAAGCCACACTTCAAAGTGTTGGAGCAGTTTATGGCTTGCATTCTTCGGGAGCATCATAGCTCATTTAAAAAATAAAGTTTTGGTGCCATTTGTTTTCCAAAGCCTTTCAAGGGAACATTTTCATTCTGCTAAATGGCATCAGTGAGAAAATTCTCAAAAATTGCAGAGGAGACATCTGCATGTGCATTCTGCAAGTAGTGTGCTTTTATCCAAGAGTGTGTTTTCAGTTCAGGAAAGGGGTTCTTCCTTACTTTCAGTATTTTCTTTCAGTGGTTCTGAAATTTTTCTTCCAGTTTTGGGAGTTTGGGTTGTAGGGGGAAACTGTAAAGATCATGGGAGGACCCATGAATCTGGAAGGCTTTGTGTAGTTCTTGGAGAGAATCACTTTAAAGGGCAGGAATTCATTTAGGAAAAGGATAAGAAAGTGGCTTTTTAATCTGGTGGAGTAACCTATTTTAAAGGCAGACCTTGAAACAGATATGCTGTTAACAATGTCATTGCCCCCAGCCCTGTACCAGTTAGAGTGTTCTTATTTTCATCAGTGTATTTGCCAACATTTTTTTGCAATGCTTTTGCAAAAAACCAAGGAGTCATCTGCTGTGAACAAGGGGGTGATATTGCCTGGTACCAGCATTTTTGCCTTATTGATGTATTGATTTTCTCACCAGCTCTTAATAATACAGTACAGAACAACTTGTCAGATTTCTCTGGAGGTCTTACCATGCTGAGGCTTGTTTGGTTGTGAAAACCAAACCCATTTGAACTTCCTTTACATTCTACACAGATCTCCTTCAGGACCATGGGCTTGGAGCATTCCAAAGCATTCCTTCACAAGCTTGTGCTTATCCTTCAGCTGGCATTGGATGACTACAGCATTCCAGAAGACACATGTATTTGTAGGATTGGGAGTACAATTAACAAAATACCTATTTTTACTAAACTGTTATTTTAGGATTCTCCTAATACTGTGAGTTGTGCTTACCCATATGATGCAATGATTACCTAGATAGATTCCAGCTTAGACCTAAGTCCCATAAACTGGAAATGCCGGATCTGGGTGAGAAAGGCCAGTCTCCAGTAGTTCTGTGTAGCAAGCTACCCTACCTAGAAAGATGTGCTACAGTTAGACACCACACAGTGAATTTATTTTTTTTCCTGAACCCTGTGTGTCACAAGCTTTTATTTGGTTTCTGAAATGTTTTGAGAGCTGTAGTAACTTTTTCTGAGCAGCTTTGAAACAGCGCTGAGAAGATCATATGAGGCTGAATTCAAGGAAGCTTTTGTGGCTGCTCACTCTCATTTTTGAAAGGTTTGTATCAGGAAATTCAGATTTAGAGCACTAAGCAAGGTACAGTGGTTTTCTCTGCTGCTAGATATGTAATTCTTTGGATTTCAATTTATGCTGTTTTTTCATTCTGAATAATTTGTCTTATCACTTTATTGGGCTGAGAAAAGTGGGTTATGTAATTAACTTAGTGTGAGGCTTCTCTTGCTCTGCTACACAGGAGTAACTACAAGACTGGGGTGGAAATATTTACCTTATTTTGTTAATGCCTGACCAGACATTAGCAGGTGGGTGAATAGTGAACATTTCCTACTGTTTGCTTTAAAAAGATGTGACAGTTTTAGAGTCAGGCACCCATTTACTTGCAAGAATTGGAGACCTGTGTAATAAAATGTTGAAGAAATACTGTTAGGTTAAGTTCTGCATTTGGATTCTGCAGAATCATTTTGAGTAATTTTAATTGGCAAGATAAAAGGTGATTTTTGTTAAGAATTTCTTTTCTGCTTATCTCACTGCCAGAAAGTGATCAAACACCCATTTTTGTCTGAAGCTGAAATTACCATAATTTTTAATTATGTGTATAGCAAAATAAATAATGAAAAAGGAAATTACTGTTCCTGGTTTTAGTGATCCAAAGAGTGACTTGTAAGATGAACCTATTTTAAGGTGTTGCTTACCTAAGAAGATGAATACCTGCATGTTCTCTGTCTGTGGTTTTGATGAAGATATTAGTATAGTTATTCTCTGTACAGAAACCCTGTGCAGAAGCTGTAACTGGGAAAATTCTCTAAGGCAATTTTTGATGGAGCAACATCTTTTCTGAGAGATTCATTAAATTCTACCCACTTGTCAAACAGCCTTAACTCAGGTAGCATATGGTCCAGCCCCTGTAAAGGATGCCTGCCTGTGAGCAGGGAAATGCAATTATCCCATCATGTAACAGAGGATTGGAGATATGTTTATACTTTCCCAGATTTATTCATCTGCATAAAGAGGAGGGGAAAAAAAAAGAACTTTTCCTATGGCAAAAAGCACTTTGGAAAAACCAATGGATTCAGCTCTTCAAATTTTTAACAGCAGATGCTTTTCCAAAGATGTTCCCATGCCCTTCTTCTTAACCTTGCAGCAGAGATCACCAAAACCACCAGCTTTGCTCAATGCTTCCCAAGCATAACTGACTTCCGTGTGAACCCTGAAAATGGATTTTAAGTGAAGTAATGAAACATCAGTTTGACATGCCTCAGTTTGGGAGACAGTGGTCAAGCCAAAATTCATGCTTCCAGATAAGACAGATTTCTCTCCCTGCCTCCCACAGCTTGTCCCTATGCAACTCAAAATTACCCCATAAGCATCTTGGTTTTTCTCACATAGTTCAAGGGTTGCATTAATGATGTGAAAAATGTTTGGTGCTTTTTTATGTGGGGTGACTTCAAATCTTTCCTA